ACTGACGCCTTCTACCTGTAAAACACAAATCATTCGTTGAAATCAAAATTATGTAAACGATAAAAAAGGAGCCAACATTTTGATTGAAGTAAAGAAAAACAAAAAGAATTGAAGAAATTCATAAAAACACATTTGTTTGTTTTATAATTTTGTTTTTTTTTGTAATGGTTACGGTAGTTTACGTACGCTTTAGCGCGCAGAAAGTTGAAAAACGCTACTTTTGCGTTCAAAAGGCATCAACTTTTCACAAATTCACCCAATTGATCTCGTTTTGGTGTCAAAATGTGCACAAGACCCTTGAGCATAAAGTTTGGTATATGACGCTCACCAAAATTTCCTTTTCGTCGAGAACCAGCCTGTAAAAGAGAGGCAATTTTGGCGTTTATATGGAAAAATAGCGATTTTTTCGATTTTTTTTGATTTTAAAAAAATCTGTCAGACGGATTCGAAAAATTCTTCCAAATTTGAATTCAGGACATTTTTTCGCATCGAATAGCACTTACCGTGAGCAAGTTTAACGGCGATCGCATTTTCGCGCGGATGTGGGGTAGGCTAGTTTCCGCAACTTTTTTGCGCAACAGGGTTATTTGCGCAACTCGCTATAACTTTCTTCTAAGTCGGTCAATTTTTTTTTCACGCTTTAGCGCGCAGGAAGTTGAAAAACGCTACTTTTGCGTTCAAAAGGCATCAACTTTTCACAAATTCACCCAATTGTTTCGATTTTTTTTGATTTTAAAAAAATCTGTCAGACGGATTCGAAAAATTCTTCCAAATTTGAATTCAGGACATTTTTTCGCATCGAATAGCACTTACCGTGAGCAAGTTTAACGGCGATCGCATTTTCGCCTTATTTCGCGCGGACGTGTACCCCCAGGTTTTTCAAAAAAAAAAAATCATTTTTTACATTGGAAGGAAATTTCCCACCAAATCAGTTAAACGGCTGAGTATCTTTAAAAAGTGTCGTATATAATGCGGGGCTTGTGATTTTTGCGTCATGGTTTTGCATTTTTTGCTAAAAGTACGGTAATTTTTTTCCCAAATGTGCGTTTTAAAAAACGCATTATTCGCGAGGAACACACTCTACTTTCAATAATCTCCATTGAATTTAAAATAAGAAAATCCAATTTTCGGCTCAATCAATCGACTATTTCGACGACTACACTCTGGCCTTGTTGAACGCGACTCGTTTCAAGGATTTCAAAGAAAATATGTTAATTGAAAAGAAGAAATATTTGATGACAATCGGTGGGAGAAGAGTTTACAAAATGAAGAAATATCGACGAATGATTCATTGAAGTGAAAAGATTTCATTAGATAAAGCTTTAAATAACAAATTGGCTTTCATCGAAAATTACGATTGAATTTTATATGCTTCCCATCAAAACAAATTTGTTCTACCGTATTTCTTCGAATAGAAGACCGGGTAAAGAGTATCATCGCGTACTTCTGCGTAGCAGCCCTTTTTAAAATTTCTTTTCTGCATAAAAGCTTTCAATCAAGTGCTATAGAGCTGGAAAATGACTCAAAAATACCACATGAGCTAACAGATTCTTGAGTCATTTTCCAGCTCTATAGCACTTGATTGAAAGCTTTTATGCAGAAAAGAAATTTTAAAAAGGGCTGCTACACAGAAGTACGCGATGATACTCTTTACCCGGTCTTCTATTCGAAGAAATACGGTAACTGCAGAGCAGTGGCAATTCGCCACAAAATTTTAATTTACAAATTCTTTAACACTTATCTTTTTAACAAATTTTATTAAAAAAAGAAAACTGAGCGGAATATTTCCAAGAAAATGAAACGAAATGTAAAAAGTAAAAAAGAGAATGACGAATGATAATTTCTCTAGAAAGTTTCGTTTATTCGTTTTATTAAATGTAAATTTATGTTGTTTACAAATTTTCAGACAATTTAGAATTTCCAAACAGATATGCAAATTTATCAAGTCTCGTGGTTTCACTTTTTCCAAATTCACAGAATTTCCTCCGTATCCCTGTGGTTTTATTTAAGTGTAGCCATCCCATCTAATGCGTGTAGCCATGGTACGGTAACTTATAGCTATTATTTGCGGTAATTTCCCTTCCTTGACAGTCTTTATGTCAATCATTTGTCATAAAAATGGGGAATATTTGATTGTTTGTGAAATCGTCGGGGAATATTGACCAAAAAAAGGGTCATGAATCAGCTTTGGGCCGTCTTTTCCTTCTCTCTTTCCTCTCTTTCACTGTCAGAGACTGCCTGAAGGCCCATTTTTGGCACCTCTTTCCCCCATTTCTCCACTAAGTTTACACAAAAGATCAAGCCTTGTCAATGGACAAAGAAATCGAGCACTTTTTCTGTCATGCATGCTCCGAAAGGGATTTTGGCTACAAATAGACCTCTTATATTTTCTGAATACGGTTCAGATTTGATTTGATTTGATTTAAACTGAACTGTGCCTTTCTTGACTGAAGCCTTTCCTAAAAAGCTACCGTCAATGGATTTAAACTGAACTGTGCCTTTCTTGACTGAAGCCTTTCCTAAAAAACTACCGTCAAACTTGAGCCTAGAGTGCATTTCTCTCAACCAGTGCGTTTTACTAAAAGTACCTTCCAAATCACTTTAACTACTTTTACTTTAACTACTTAACTATTTAAACTTTTAAATTACTTTAACTACAGTCCAACTTCTCTATAACAATCTTTTACGTAAGGAGAATCTCTATAACAACTTCTATATAACAATGTTGTAACTACAGGGTTGCAACATTGTTATATAGAAGTTGAAGGTTGCAAGAGATAGCCAGTTCTGATGGATATTTCTTCGGAAAGTGATGACGAAAGACTTCAAGAAGAGCAAAAACGTTCAATATTTCGTAATGAAGCACTTCGTCAGTTTCAATCATTTGGGAATATAGAAAAGAGAATGCCAGTGTGGAATTTATGCAAACGACAAACATTATTGAGGATTTCTTCTATAGCCAAGCTTCAATTTCCAAGAAACAATAGCGTTTGACGAATTTCTTTGCTAAACTTTAGATGTTGGTTTGCCTATTTTTTAATTGTTGATTTTGTGAAGAAATTCATTGGTTAGCTTTTAGATCTGGTTAAAAACTGTATGATTTTTTGCTTTTACATAAAGACTTTCTGTATAGTAATATTTCTATATAATGATATTTATTCTTGGTCTTGAATATCGTTATAGAAGTTCGACTGTACTTTTAATTAAGTATTTAAACTTTTAAATGACTTTAACTATTGGGTTGGTGAATTGAAAACTGCGGGCTATTGTCATATGTGACAGTTTGAAATTCAGGCCTATTTTTTGATACCTAAGCGCACATTGTAGCATAAACCAGTGTCGAGAAACACTCGTTTAAAGCTAGACTACGCAACACTCCGCACCGTCATTATGGGGGTGGGGTACTATTGGATTGGTGAATTGAAAACTGCCGGCTATTGTCATATGTGACAGTTTGAGAACTTTCTTCAAAAGAAACTCATTTTGGTGTCAATGGAAAAGTTGTAGAGAATCAAAAATCAAGCTTATATCCAAATTTTCAGAACTATTCACAAACTGGTTTTCAAGAAATGCCAAATTTACGAATTTTCACAAAACTTGCATTTTAAGCGAAACTACTAAGTGTATCTTTTTGGAAATTTGGCTATAAGCTTAATTTTTGATTCTCTACAACTTTTCTATTGACACCAAAATGGGTTTCTTTTGAAGAAAGTGCTCAAACTGGACAAACTGGGACATCTCCAGTCCTCCATTTTTGAGTCTCACACTTGTCTCACACACAAACCAAAATCCTACTACGAAAGAGGAATCCGAAAATCCGCAAATTGCCTGTAAAATGGGCAGAAGTCGTCAATAATAAAAGAAATTATTTGGAATCAATTCATGGGTTTTATGTTGAATAAATTTTAGTTCAAAGTCCCGCAGTTTTCAATTCGCCAACCTAATACTTTCAAAAGCCAGCGGATAAGCCTTTCCTTAAAGTCAAGCCAGACTTTCATCATTCCGTCTTAACTCAAACTTGCCTTTGGATATCTTTCCTTACTCTGTGATCTCAAATCTCTAAAGATCTCTAAAGATCTGTGGGCGGAGTCTGTCGATTGTCTAAAAAGGATCTCTCTTTGCAAAGGGTTACTGTATGGGATGGGGTTTGCCAGCCTCTTTTCTCTCATAATCCATATTGGGTATCACAAAAAGTCAGCCATTTTAGAGCAATTCTATAAATCTTTGTAACAAATTGTAACATAGTTTTCTAATGTCTTCACTTGTGTTTACTGGTGTACTCTTTATTGTACTTGTCCCGCGAAACCTTGAAATCTTTGTATTTTGATTTGAATATTAAGTAAGAAAGATCAGCAAGCCCAATCCGATGAATTCTTTGTCCCTAGCCGAGCACCTCCCCTTTCCCCTTGACTTCTCCACTTCTCCTTTTCCGAACCACTCCTTTCTTTGGCTCCGATCACTTCTAATCCATCGAATTCATCGCCAATTCTGTTTTTCCTATTTTCGCCTACGTTTTTTGTTAGATCTTTCTTTTCTTCCTGGTTACTTTCCTTCAAACTCAGCCCATTTCAGCTTCTTTCTCTTTCAGTTTTCAGCTTATAACTAGTTCTCAAATTAACAACTTTTAGAAAAGATGTTCCATTCAAACTGTTCAGGATATGATCCTAACCATTTTCCAGCGTCTCATCAAGAGGTTTGTAAAAAAGCATGAATTTACTTACCGTAAATACTGTAAGAGTACCCCATCCCCATAATGACGGTGCGAAGTATTGTGTAGTCTAGCTTTGGACGCGTTTTTCCCGACACTGGTTTATGCTACAATGCGTCTTTGGTATCTAAAAATAGCTGAAATCCAGGGCTATTTTTTGATACCTGCGCACGCATTGTAGCATAAACCAGTGTCGAGAAAAACTCGTTCAAAGCTAGACTACACAATACTCCGCACCGTCATTATGGGGCTGGGATACTATTACAGTATTTACGGTAAGTAACACTTTCAGATGTTTACTCGCCGTGTCTCAATGACAGTTGTTGAGGAATATTTGTGTGAATATTCGTCGACAACTCCACAACGATCATTCGGATTTCCATCACAAAATCAACAACAATCTCTACAAAATCCAAATTATCCACAACGGCAACAGTACATCAACAATCCGTATATGCTAATGGAAGGTGAGCTTTTCCTAAATGTACGTAGTGATTTCTGAACTGTGAAAGTATTCGGATTGAATTAAAGAATATTCAGTCTTCTCATTGGCAGTCAGGCACTGGAATACGGTAGTTTATCCATTGAATACGGTAGTTTATCCATGGAATACTGGACTCTGAAATCTCTCCCAATGTGCTCTCAGTAAATCTTCTTACATTTTTCCATTTCCAGATCCCAAATCTCTCCCAATACCAAGCCATCCCTCAAATCCTCCAAATCATTTCCTCCACAACCACTCTTCACCAAACTGCTCAAATTTCTCGTGGGACTCCTCATCGGAGCAATCTTTTCCAAATCAGGTATTTTTGAATGAAATGCCAAAACTCTTCAAAGTCTAATTTTATATAACTAGTCGGCCTTATCTACAAATCCCACTCACCTAGTTCCCCCCTCACCCTCCTCCACATCCAAATCTCCTCTCATCCTCCACTTCTTCTTCCTCTTCATCATCCCATCTCCAACTCCAATATTCTTCCTCTCCGAGCTGTTCCACTTCATCACAAGAAGAAGAATTCGATTTCATCACTCGTCTACCACCAGAAATTGAAACAAAGGTCTTTTTTGATATTTTGACAGTAAGAAAGCTTCAAAGTCTTACTTTGATCATTCAGATTTGACCAAGTCTGACCAGTTTGACCAAGTTTGACCAAGACCAAGTTTGACCAAGATAAAGTTTCAAAATAATTAACTTCCCTTTTGATAATTATGTTATACTTTTTATGATACAACTTCATTCAGGTTTTTTATCCGCCATCCGCTCAACGTCCTCGAATAAAGGAGAGAGTCCCGAGGAAAAGTCGAGAAATGATTTCACGAAAGAGGAATCATCAATGCGAATTTCCTGGTTTGTTGATTTAAAAAATCTTAACGCTGAGAAAAATCTGCTGAGATTAACAAAATGTTAATCTCAGCTCAAAAAAATATTCACTGAATAAACTAAATAATTCAGCAAATGCTTCAATGACTCGTTCGTTTTCAGGTTGCGATAAAATCTATACGAAAAGTTCTCATCTACGAGCACATCAACGACTTCATACTGGTGAGTGACATTGATTAGGTATTCCAATCAATTTTATTGATTGGTAATCATTCCAACAAAAGCCGAACCTCTAATAGGTTTGGGCTAAGCTAGCGAATAAGAGATTGGTCTAAAAATCGTTTTTTTCATGGTTAGTAGCTAGAAACCAATGTTAGAAGCATAAAAAAAACAAAAAATTACCGTAAATACTCTAATAGAACGGGCCCCAACGGAGCGTCGTGTAGTCTAAGTTACACTCAGTTTACACTCAAAGAATCGCTCATATCTCGACACCAGTACTTTTGTTTCTGCGCGCTTACGTATCAAATTAAAGTAGAGAGGATGGGTGATTTTTTGAGATATAACACATTTTTTAGCATTAACCAGCGCTTAGAAGAAAGTGATTGAAAAATTATGCAAAATTGGCTCAACAAATGGGGCAGCTACGTTTTTCCGTCGCAGTGCGTAGCTGCCCGATTCGTTGGGTTTTGCTTTAAAAATCACAAAGATATTCAATTTCCCGCTTACAAGCCTGATTCGCATTATAAATTTCCCCCTAGAATCGGGAAATCAATGTCTAACGATGTTTTGGGAATTCAATCGGATGCATTGCTTCGCTTTGTTTCCGCTTGTAACACTTTTTGCATACACGAGATGGGCTTACTTCGCTTTACCAATCGCAATCACATGTCGGCCAATTACCGTAAATACTGTAATAGTACCCCACCCCCATAATGACGGTGCGGAGTATTGTGTAGTCTAGCTTTGGACGCGTTTTTCTCGACACTGGTCTATGCTACAATGCGTGCGTGGGTATCAAAAAATAGCCCTGAATTTCAGCTATTTTTAGATACCAAAGACGCATTTTTTGAAAGTACGGGTGCTTTGAAAAAAATGAAATACTAAAAAACTTTTGCGACTACGCGACTGTACGAGGGGGGTGGGGTCCAATTACAGTATTTACGGTATGTTTCATGAACTGCCAAGAACTAGTGCTAATCGCTGCATAATTTTGTTTAAATCCCTTCTTTGTTTAGTATTTTCAAAAACTCGTTATCAATCACTAACGAGGGCTTCTCGTCAGTGATTTTTAGCTCCTCATCTTTAAGGTTTTTTATATCATTTCTAAAACGATGAAACCAATTATAAACCATTTTATTCATAAGAATACATCAGCAAATTTGAAGCATATAAAAGTTGAACGATTAATTCAGTAATTCCCCTAACAAAAATACAAGCGTGGCATTACAAAATTACAAAATTACGCAATCGATAAGTGATGTCGCCCACCTTTTTTTTGATATTTCAAACAAAAAGAGAAACTTAAAAAAACGACTGTTGCCAATGAGTGTTAGAATTATAATCAAAAAAAAAATCTTGACGCTTGGCGTCGCTGAAAAGCCTTTCTTATCAACCTAATACAGTAATATCACCGCTTGTCACTCAAATACCCACTCTCGATGTGAAGTGCTTCCAAATACTTCCCTTTTCCATTATCAACATAACTGTTGTCTTTCATTGTCCTCATCTCTTCTTTTCCCTTTTTTTTCTCAGCAATCCGCTTGTCCACTCATAAATGACAGATCGATCTTTTTGGCGGGCCGACGTTAGACTTCTTGAAACACGATATCCATATTTGTAGGGAAAGGGGGGAAAGATCCACTTGAGAAATCTTTTCCCTTTCTATTCAAGGTACTCAAGTAAGGCTTTTGGCACCCTATACGGAGACTGTTAGCTGGGGAGATTTTTGAGGAAACGAGTAAATAGTTTATAATTAAATGAAAATGATTTGTAATCATCAATCGACTAAGACAACTAAGACGTTTCAACTCTCAAAATCTATCGTTTTGGCTTTGATTTCATCAATTTATCTACGTCTCACATGGGCTTTTTGTAGAAAACAATTCAGTTCCACGTTTTAGCAAACAGCTCTTGTTTTCTAAAGCGTGAATCCAATGCTATTTCGAGCTTTAGAAAATGAGAGCCTATTTGCTAAAACGTGAGACTGACTCGTTTTCTACAAAATGCCCATGTATAATCTGATCTGTAAAGTTTACAAAGGATACCAAAATCTATAAAAAATAGATGAATGGGTAAAAACAAAAGGCCAGATTACAGTACTTTACAAAACTTGACACGTTTTAAAACTTGAAAGAAACACGTTAACCAAAAATATTGCTTGCTTTCAATGCTACACTTCTAAAAATCGCCGATAAAACGTTCTTGCTAACCGTTTCTTTCTCATATTTCTCATATTTATTTCAAATTCAAGAATTTCATATCTGGATTCCTTTACCGTACTCCTCTTTTTAATCTCTTTATTTATCTGATTTCTCTCTTGATCAACCATCACATTGACCTCAATCAACTTCCGTTCTTATGCCAGTTTTCCGCCAAATATTGTCTGAGAAAAGAGAGAGGGAAATGGCGGTGATTCTCCTTTGAAGTCGAATCGTCTAATTGGAAGCGCAAACGATTGTAAACAGTAGATTATGATTGGAGAAAAGCATAAAAAAAGAAGAAGGGAAATGGATAGGGAATGGATATATTTGAGATTGGAGGGGATTGGGGAAATAGATATGAAATTTTCATGGTTCGATGGTTCTGAATAGAGTTTTTCTCAAATAAAACGCGTGAACTTTCAAAAAATGCTTTCTTAATTTCAGGCGAGAAACCGTATCTCTGTCAATGGTCTTTTTTCAATGGGCAAAAGTGTGAATGGTCTTTTGCGAGATCCGATGAATTGACGAGACATTACAGAAAACATACTGGAGCCAAGCCATTCAGGTTGATTTCTGATTCGTCTTCTAAACTTTCAAAAACATTTAGATGTCCAAGTTGTTCACGAACTTTCGGTCGAAGTGATCATTTACAGGTAAGCAGAAGAAATCACAATTTGAAGATGTGCTTTGCACTTAAATATTTGAAGATAAGAGTTATCAGTTTCCAACCAATTTTCAGCTTCACATGAAACGCCATCTCAACGCGGGCGATCCAGAAATTCTTGAACTGATGTAAGGCAAAATAAACCTCTCAAAGTGTTGTGCTTTCAAATTATAAATCAAGATTTATTTATAAAACCAATCTATTCCTCAAATATTCTTTCCGTCTCGAAGAAATTTACAGTGTGAAACGCGAATAAATCGGTGAACGGAGAAAAATTAACATGAAAAAAATCCACACAGCATAAAAATTACTTATGGAAATTTTGTGAACGGTTAAGAACCAGCGAACCAACACAGAATTTGATGGCTTTCAAAAGTGCCTAGGTGAAATTTTGTTTTTGAAACATCCACGGAAACAGACAGTTCATCTAGGAACTTTTGCAAAAATTTACAACAGAAGCATTACTATACAAGTTACATATTTTTCAACTAGGCCATAACAGTACAGATCTAACATAATTAGTTGATTTTAGCAAATGATGGGTTTTAGCGCCTCAAGGCTAAGATTAAAGTCAATCTTTTTGAAAAACTATAAAAGAGAAACTAAAACCCATTCAGAACTACGTCATGCTCTTCATCGCATTGTCTCTTCAAAAAGAGAAATAAGAAGGAAACGAGAAAAAGGGCTACGTTAAAAATTGGATTCCCCCGAACAGATATTGCGGCTAAAATGGAAAGAGAATGAAAAAAAGCAGAAAAATGTTTTTGAGGGGCGGGGGAGACAATAACCAAAAAAGGAGAGTGAGCCAAAATTTAACCATAGTAATCGGGAAAACCGGCCATAAAATAAAGTCGGCGGATATTCGTTTGAGTTTTGCTTCTGTCTGTACAATTAAGTCAAATATCCACCTCCCATAAATGTTCAAGAATGTTCATAATGGCAGTTTACAAGAACAAAAAAACATAGACATCGCGAAAAATGAGAGACGAATTCTTACGTGGATGGACTAAAGTATTAGTCCGAATGGAGGGAGCACAGAGCATAAAATATAGGGAGCATAAAATACAATAATTTATACACAAAATAGTTAGTCAAAACAAATAAATAGATGGGAATTAAACAAACCAAAATAAGAGTACCTATTACTATGTTTTTCTGTCGTTGAAAGATGATCCAAAATTTCTGAACTGTACAGAATGAAACATCGAACATTCCCAACTATAAAAGATAACTTTTGAACCGGGAGTAATTGATTTTTATCATTTAACTTTTTTAAAATAGGTTCAGCTTTAGAGGATAAATGACTGATTGCTCAAACAAAAACTGAATGCTAAACAAGAAACGTACCTATTTCTTAACAGTAGTCGGAGTGCCTCCACTGCCCGATGACGCTTTTTTCACAGCCGTTGGGCTTTTTTCATTCGCGTTTGAGCCAGAAACATCAGCATGCTAAATGACGATAAATTGGTGCGTTTCGTTCAGTTTTCTTACCTTTTCAGTCAGAAAGCTCGTGAGTGAAGGTCCAGACAAGAGCTTCTTGGCCTAAAGTTGTTCAGTAATCTCTACTGCTGAGATTTTTTGGTCAAACCTGTTCAGCATCAACCTCTCCAAGCTCAATCGCTTCTAGCCGTTTCCAAAGCTCATCACGATCTTTTTCGCGCTTTCTCTCCCTAAAAATAATTAGATCCAACTATTACAATTTTAATTGGCTTACTTTTGTCGTTCCATCTTGTAAGTTGAGGTCAGCTCATCAAAAAGTTTGCCATTCATCTCCATAAAAGTTTTCAATACATTGTAGACGAGAGCAACAATTGTCTAAAAATAAATTAAAATTTGTAGTCAAACAAATTGTACCTGGTTCCAATGTTCTTTTGAGATTCGATAGAGGGCCGGAAACATTATTGGCATAACCTGGTTATGATATGTTAAGGATTTCAACCACAGCGCTTACTTGAGAGCTCGTCTCTTCAATCAAAGACAAAATGTACTCATTGTTCCAGAAATACAAAGCTCGTTCTGCTACCTAAACATCCATCAATAGTTTCGAAGGTGATCGTGAACTCGCCTGGAAATGAGGGCTACTAACGCATTTGGCCAATTGCCGGAAAAGAGGATCGATGATCTTTTTGAACTGTTCCGGTTCAATAATATCCAAAATTTCTTCAACTTCGCCCAAAAACATCACTTCCTAAAAAGTAGGTAAATACGCAGCCTAAAAAAGCATACCTTGCTCGAGCAAGTGCGTGGCCAGAACTTAAGTAGAGCATCAAAAACTTGCGGGGTCAACGTAGAATCCTTTTCGATAAATTGAACAACGCAATAAGCCAGCTAAATTGGGTTTTTAGGTAATACAAGTTTGATTAAATTAGTGATACCTGAGCATGATAAAGAGACAGACATCTGGGCTTGTGCAATGGTAAAAGAACCTTGACAAGAAATTGTTTGTGCTCAGCCTTCAGCGGCAATGCAAACCCGTTAATAATACTGAAAATAACTGTAAAGTGTGTGTTTAAAAAGTGCCTTAACCTTCCCAGAATTTCAAGAAGTTCACCAACTCCATTGAACGACTCAGTTTCGTAGACAAATCTGTGGCAAAGAGATTATGAAAATAGACTTTGTAACACTTACGATAAGAACATATTGTTGATATGTTTGCGAATGAAAGCTCGAAGTCCGAGAAATTTTCCATAAATCCTATGCAAGACCGTTTTCAAAAAATCACGTTCGCGGGGGTCTTCCGAATCAAACAGGTCGAGTAACTAAAAGATTGTGCATAAATGATGCTTAAATAAACCTTACGTTCAGGACAAATCGTTGATCAATGTATTTCTTTCCGATTGAGGCTTGGAAGTCTGGTGACTCCAAAAAGCGTAGGAAAAGTTCGTAAACAAGCTAAATAGTGTGGTTGACTTTACAGCAAGCAATTTTCACCTGTAGATGAGGCCAAGAAACTTCAAGCGTTGGTTCGTCTTCTTCTGGATCAAATTCAGAGTTATCCGAGGGCGGAAGCACTCGGAAAATGTTTTTCGAGACCATTTTGATAACCTAAAAGTTTTCATTATAAATTAACGTGCAAATTATCGACCTCAGGATAGATTTGCTCGACAATGGCTCCTTTCACAGTGGTGATGTGATCGATCAACTCATTCAAAGCGGCGCGCTTGATCTGAAGCAGTAAATGGCATTATTTCTTCTTGTCTTATTCTTAGCATGTTTTAGAGCATATTTGAACAAAACTTTAATTCACTTATGCTTAAAAAAGCACTGTAATCGTAGCTTTTTAAAAAATGAAATTTGCTCCTCCGTTGTGTTGAGGTTATATGCTTTTCTAATTCTAAGAAAAGTAGTCATTCACAAATAATCAGTTTTGTCTTTTTAACTCAAGAAACCATAACCACAAACTTCTTTAGACTTCAATTGTGCAACTGGGTCGTAAAAGTCAAAGATTCTCTGGCACTGAATTAACTTTTGCACAACAAGGGCTGTCTGCTCGGCTGGTGGAGTGTCTAAATTCGAAGCTTGCAAAATTATTAAAAGAAATTTCTTGTTAAAGCCAAGGAGGTTGTAGCAAGTTCCTCGGTCGGGTGTAGCCATTTAACGAACCTTTAATAAGCGGAAGTTGTGTAAGCTCTGGCTCATTCTCTGGATGATAACGGCTGCTATTCACAATGCGCCTAAAATTAGAAGTTTTCAAAAAAAATCACCAAGAAAATACCTTCGCCGGCTTGTTCCACGTTTTGAGAAAGGATCAATCTTATCAACAAATTGATTTGCCGTTGCCGAGAGTTGAACACCGCCAGTTGCGGCTCCCTAAATCACAAGTTCAATAATGATACGCAATAAAGATAGATTAGAGTTTTAACCAAATAATTTTAATGTAGATTTGAAGCTAAATGAAATCTTTGGCGCCTAACATTTCATCATGAACGTTTCAATAAAATGCTCAATTAATTTACCTGTGTTTTTGCTGCCGGAATCTGATGCCCATGGGGGCCAGCAGCAAGCAATCGCTCGGCCTTTTCTAAAGTCAACAGTTTATCTGGAACATGTTAAAAGTTAAACCTCCTTGTGCTCCTTTATCGGCCATTTTCACTGTTTGGTGGTGTCTTCTCGGGGCAGTCCAAGACGGATTCCCCTAGCTCGAATGCGGCAACACCTAAAATCGATCAAACTAATATAAGATGGCAAAGTTCGACACGAGAGACAAAAGAAAAATAAATTGGAAAACCCGAACATACAACAAATGGAAAACACGATTGAGGATTGATGCAGGTAAAAGACGGGAGAGCGCTCGGGGGGCTGTGTGGAGGTACGGGTCGAGAAAGAAAGGCACAAGACGGCAAGAGGCGACCGGGGGTCTTCCCTTGAAAAAAAGAGAGCCAACAGAGCCAAGCCTCTCCATACGACTTGATATCTATGTCTCGAGCCTCTCTGCGTCTCTCAGATTGCCGTTCGCGAGAATTGCCGCCGCTTTATTTAAAATCGAATAGTTGAATCGATAAACTGACAATTATTACACTTAACTTGTCCTGAGAGTGTTTCGAAGGGAACTTTTGGTTGCAAGGCTTTATAATTTCCCCCGGTTTCGAGTTAAACCGTCCCCCTCTCGCCGTTTTTCGACTCTTCGGTTCTCGAAGAGCGCAATATAGCGGTTGGGTTTGTCATTTGAATCGCCGCGGTCACATACACGATCAGACACCCCGAAATTACCCAATTGAATACGCCAAGAGTAAAGCTTTCTTTTAGCTCGTGATTTACCTCCAATTTTTGTGCGTTTACTCCTTGACTGAAATTTTTACGCATTTTGAGCTAAAAGGTGTAAAGTTGAAAACTTTTTCATTCCACGTATTGATTGTTATGTGTGCACATTCTTTTTCTTATTTTTTTATTTCTTTTGTAAGTCAGGTTATCTTAAACTTTATTTTAGAGATGACCACCGCCCACAGACCAACCTTCAATGCAGCAAGGGGAGGCACCGCCAGGTAAGTTTTAAGCACTTCCGTTGGTTTAGTATGTTTTTAGGTCGGAGGGCGACCTCTCCAAGCTTTCGGCTCAATATTCGAGCAAGGACATGCCATCCCATCTCAAGATCAAGCATCGACAGACCGGACAAGCTACCGAAGAGGATTTGAAACGCAGAGTTTGTTCTATTGCTTTTGAAGTTACTTGTAGCATCTTTTTAGGATCTCCGCCGTGAATTGGAGGATAGAGAGCATGCTGCTGCTCGCGAGAAACGAACAGGAAAGGAAGCTTCTTCAGGTTTGGGAGCTTGTTTTCATTTCTGTATTTACGTTTCGAATTATAGTTGGTAGTAGCTCGAAAAAGCCACGCTTTGAAGAAATTGCGGCGTCCACTAAAGATATTGATGCAGATGAACCGCTTGACGAGGTCACTCTTTGTAGAAGCACTTAAATAATATTGAGGTTTGAGATAAACGATTCCGATGAGGATTCGGACGATGATGACACTGCGGCTTTGATGGAGGAACTGGCACGAATTAAAAAGGAACGAGCCGCAGAACGTGAGGCTAAGGAAGAACGAGATAACGAGGAACAGGTAAAACTCTTGACTTTTTTTCGCGAAATAATTCTAAATTTTAGGAAAAAATTCGTATGGACAATATTCTGCAAGGAAATCCACTTTTGAATTTCGAAAAGGACCAGACTGAAGAAGGATTCAAAGTCAAACGGCGATGGGACGACGATGTGGTTTTCAAGAATTGCGCAAAAGGTCATCGGGAAAATATAAAATTATTTACCTACTTTATTTGTAATTTTAATTTAATTTAGGAATCGATGAGCGAAAGAAGGAGGCCACTTTCATTAATGACGCTATTCGATCCGAGTTTCATCGCAAATTTATGGACAAGTACATTAAATGATTTTTATATCGATTATTTTTGGTGATGTTGATACTCATTCGTTATTCCATTTTGTAAATGTTCTTGCTATTTTCAGAAATAAATTTTTATCATGTCCTTCAACCTTAAAACTACAAACAGCCAAATCACTAGAAATTATCTATTTTTGGATTTTATTGATGGAAAGCTGAATGCCGGTCCATGTTTGTTATCCTCGGTTGCCATCTATTGGCTCTTTTGCCGCCACGTTGCGCCGACGCTCCTTTCTCTTCTCTCTTTTCGACATTTTCTTTCTCTTATATCTTCTCTATTTTGTGGTCAATTGAATCATAAAATTCAGTGATGACTCCCACTTCACAGATTTTCTTTTCATTTTATTGACACACATTTTTAGAAGATCAACGCCCTAGAATCAAAAGCTGGCTCTCCCCGTCGTTTAGTCACCAGTGCTTCTCACCTTCTCACCAGTGCTACATGACGACTGGGGTAGGAATTTTATTGACGATTATTATTGTGTCGATTGTGAAAAAATGGACCCAATCGCCAGCTTTCTCATTCTTTGTCTCTGGCGATTTCTTCTTATCACTTTGTGACCTTGCAATCAACAAAGCTTTCATAGGTGCACACCTTTTATCCATTTTCATTCAATTCAAATCCGTAGGCGATTATTTTACAAAATGCGTATGACGCTTCTTAATTGCCTATAAATTCAGTTTTTTTTCTGTTTACTTTACGCGATAAAAAAGGAAAAAAATTGATGTTTCTATATTTGTTTTAGCTTGCGCGTGGCAGCAGTGGGATAAAATTTGTGCGAATCGTTCCCGCATCACAAAAAGCCATGGAACGGCGAAAACTATGGGTATTTGCGGTCACTTTTATAAGGTATTTTTTGTTTTACACCACTCTTTATCATTTTTTTTAGTTATGGATTGTATCATGCTTCTCGCAAAACTCTAGCCGGCGTTAAATCTTCGGTAAAAAAGGATTGGTTGGAAAATACGACCGGCCGTGTGAGAATTTTAATACACCTAAAAGCTTAAATCTAAAGCTTTAGCCATTATTTGATACTGATGGAGAGGCTAAGGCTTTTCTGGGAACATTGGATGCGATTTTTATGGGTGCTTATGCAGCGGTAAACCATATGAACGCATCAATTTTTAAACCTTTTTATTTTAGGCTCTATTCTTTTGGGGATGGTTGGGCGATCGATTGAATCCGAAAAAAGTCGTTGCTGCCGGAATGATCTCCAGTTCAATAATGGTATTATTTGCTCTGATTTTAAACTTTTGATGGTTTTTAGCTTTTTCTTTTCGGATATGTACCGAAAATGCTCGACTTTTATTCTGTGCCCTGGTACGTCGTCACATATATTGGATTTGGTCTTCTTCAAGGTAAAAACCTTAAAACTTGGGAACAGACGTAAAAAAATTTGCTGATTCCAAATATCAAATCAGAAATTAGATACGAGTACGTTTTAGTACTCATTACTAGGTGTATTAGGATTGTATGTTAATGTATGATCAAATTTACATACAAAGCTCAAATTTCTGAAAATTTTTACGAGGCGACTTGATTTAAGTTGATTGTTGAGTTGATCACTACAAGTTCAAAATTTCAAACATGGTGAGATTGATTCCCAACTCTGATTAGCTGCATTTCAAAGACCGCCCGCTAGCGGGCGACCAGCGAGGCTGGTTCTCGCTAAAAAGGAGTGTTTTTGATTTAGTCCTGTGATTTTGATTTAGGCTTAGGTTGTTTTTTGTTGTGCATGTGGTGGGCTAGATGGGGCTAGATTCTTTATTTTGTGGAATTATTAACCGATAAATTTTAGCTTGTGGTTGGCCCAGTGAAATTGCCATAATGGTGAGTTTTATTTCTACAAATTTTTAATGCAAGTTTTTAGGCTAGTTGGTGGGGTGGTGCAAATCGAGGCCTCGTGATGGGTATTTGGGCAGCCTGTCAGCCGCTTGGGAACATTGTTGGTAGTATCTTTACCGCCTTCATTCTTCCATTTGGATATGAGGTTATAAATTAATTAAAATGGATATACTTATAATCGTTTTAGTATACCTTTTTCTTCAACGCCGCTGTAACGTTTCTCTTCGCATTTGTTGTCCTCTGGGGAATTGACAGTAAACCACCTCATTGCCTCGAAAATGATGTTGAAGGAAGAGCAACTGTGTCTCGAGCTTCCAGGTATCGATTTAATTAAATCCATGGGAATGAATTTATTTCAGCATATCTGAGGAAGGTGAACCAATCGGAATTCTTCAAGCGTTATTTTTGCCCGGAGTTCTTGCGGTTATTTTTTTTTATTTATTTTCTTAAACTTGAGTTTAGTATTGTTTATGCAATGCTTGTCTGAAATTGGTCAACTATGCTTTCTTCTTTTGGCTTCCATTGTATTTGACCGAGAACTACCATTGGTATGTCACTTTAGGTCTGTTCATTTTCATCTGTTTTTTACAGGAAGGAAACTGAAGCCGATCAGCTTTCAATTTGGTACGACGTTGGAGGAATTGTTGGCAGCGTTTTGGGAGGATACATTTCTGTCAGTCACAAAATCAAAATGAATTGCAGCTCTAAGCGTTTAGGACCGGATGGGTTGTAGGGCACCCACAATTTCAACAATGTTAATCATGTCACTTGGAGCACTTTGGATTTATGCACAGGTAACTCAATGTATCTTACAAATTAAGATTTCATATAGATTGGTCCTCATTTGTTCTGGAATGGGCTAGTAATGACAATCGTCGGAATCACAATTTCTGGCCCGTACAACCTCATTGTTGGATCAATTTCAATCGATCTCGGTAGTCAACCCGCACTCGCTGGAAATTCTCAGGTCTGCCATAGACAAATACTTGACTATGTGTATTTTAGGCCATGTCCACCGTTTCTGGTCTTTTGGATGGTACAGGCTCAGCTGGATCTGCAATCGGACAAGTCATTATTCCTGTTGTTCAGGATACAATTGGCAAGTCTTTCTGTTTCTGTTAATTCTTTACGTTTACGACGGTTTATATACATGTTAACTTTTAGGATGGCATGCTGTCTTCTATCTATTCATTTCTCTGGTAAGTTTTTATTTTTATTTTTCTGTCTTTTTTCATTTTATTATTAGAATGCTATCTCGGTACTATGCATTGCGAAGAGAACGGTTTTGGATGTGAAGCGCATGTTCCGCGATCGACGCCCCGAAGGAGCTCCGCTACTTCTTGATCAAGATAGCCATGAAGATTAGTGTAGTTTTATTTTGCATATCTGACAAATGACTCGTATCAACTTTGCCATTTTCGCTCTTGCTGATATTTGTTAGGGGTTTTCGTTGTGATATACTTTTTTTCCAAACTTGCGAAATTGTACATCTTTTTTGATCTTCCTTTTCTGTGCAATTATCAAAGTTTTATACATCAGTATTTCGGTTTTTTTATTTGAAAAAACTCTGGTTTTTTTTTCTAGCTTTATCACACCCACAAAATTCTGTACGTACGGGTGTTTGCATTCCTTGTGTTTTTCTGTGACTTGAATTGCTTTTATATGTAGGGGAATAATAAAGAGATGTTATTTGCTCACTCAAACAAATTTTGCAAGTTATTATCTCACCAAAATATACCTAATTTGTAACAGTGAATACATTTTTGGATGCGTGCCCACAATTGCCGTATTTTTTTCAGTTTCAATGGAACGATGTGTGTTTTGTGGATGGTCTCGTCGAACCGCTTATCCCTCTGTCCGATTCTTTGCCATTCCTAAAGAACCCGGCCTGAAACGAGTACAATGGCTGTACGCTATTGGTGAACGAGTAAGTTTAAAGCACTCAAAGCTTGTACCACTTTAAAACCATTTTCTCCAAGTCTTATGCCAGGCGATTTCAGGAAATGTCTGGTCGCCAAGATCGTGTTTGTTCGGTACATTTTCGAAGTGGAAAACCGAGTAGCGATCCGAGCCATGAGGACTTTGCACCACATCGTTATTTGGACAAAGAACCGCCAAAAGAAGTTGTGTCACTTTACTTTTTTATACCGAATCATTTTCAGGTGATTGAATATCTTGAACGCCTTGTCGAAAACAACGAAAATGGACAATTTGCGGCCAATTCACAACCAAAATTCAAGGTAAATTTTTCGGGTCGATAAATTCAACTGGTATTTATTCAGGCAAGCGTCTCCGTCACAAATCCATCGCATGTCGAATTTAACAAAGTATCTCGTCCGAGCATATTGCAGAGACGTAAACGGACGGTATTTTCTTGTTAAAATTTAATCAAGCTAAACGTTTAGATTGGTGACCGGGAAGCTGAAGATTTGCACGAAGGTTCCGATGATCCAGAAACAAATGAGGTTTTTTGAAAATAAAGCAAAATTATTGTAATTTAGGATGCGGAACAAGAGACTTCTAGAAAGCTTCCATATACAATTGAAGAAGTAGAAGATGAACCCGGAACAGTGAAAAAAATGAGACTCTACCCACTTCAAAAGTAAGTTTTGGAAAGTTATCAATTTTAATTAAGCGATTTTTTTTTAGAGAATGGGTAAAGCAGACGGGAGCTGTTGAAGGAATGAAAGTTGTGTTTCGATTGAAACGAACCGAACCGAGATCGAGTCCCCGAAAACAAGCACTTCCTGAGAAAACGAGGCGTGAAGTTGTGAGAATTCGAATGGAGGACGAACATGGGGTTAATCATTAACTAAAATTTCGATAACTTTCTATAATTTTTAGAATATTATTGAAGAGCGCTTGGTGAGCGAGGGAGAGGCGCGGCGGATCCAAAAAGAAGTTGAACTCCAACAAGTGAGTGAGCACTTTTTAATCTTTGCGAATTTGGATCGTTTGAACAAAATATTTTTTTCTTTCTTGGAAAACTTCATTGCTTTAGATGACCGAAGAAAGCGAGGCTGATTTGCAAGTTCAGGAGCAAATTTAAAGGTGAAATATGTCTTTAATTTTAAGAATTGCCGTGGATTTTGATCATTTCTCGCAGGTGAAAAAGCAGGAGTTACCAAAAATGCCAAAATAGTAGTTTTCTTTGAAATCAAGCGCAAATTTTTTTGAGCAGAGCGTACCTACAATTAAATTTCCACCTGTCTTCAAGAGAATCCTAGTTCCGGTTATGTAATTTTCATGATGTGTATATAAAAACCACTTTAGGTTCAACAAGCCATCGTCAGATTACATAATTCAAAGCAGAAAAGCCAAACTCGTGTGTTTTTGTATGTCTGTACATACCTTTTCTTGTGTTTCACATTTTTCTCAGATTTCATGACTGTTTTGTTCAAATTGATCTCGTTCTTCAAATTTTACCTCGAATACAGCTTTCATACATTTCCCAACGTTTGCACAAACACTGGGGGCTTTCTTTTCCGATGACTCTTTGTCTCCATTGGAGCTCATCCATGATTACATGGCGCTCATTGGGGGAGGAGGGAAGTGCTTTTAAGCAAAAAAAACTTTTCGCGGCTTTGTATCGTTACGCAAATCTTCAGAACAGAACAGTACGGGAGAATCAGTTGGACGCTTTTCTAGGCGTCACACACAGCACATTTCACCCTTTCCCATTTGGGCGCTCGCTTATCAGCTTGTTTGGAGCCGTGAAAAATCTCGGGATTATCTGTGTTCCGAGCTTCGAGACATCCCAACAAATACGAGTAGTCTGGGTAAACGACTAATACGACTAATACTAATCTCTAATACGATTATCGCCCGGAAATTCCTCTAAACACTTTGCAATCAATCCAATTCTGGGGATGAGGCTTCGAGGCTTTATCGTAGACGTCATTTCCGAGGCTTTATCGTAGTTTGCACAGGTCGTAATTAGTTTTATTAGAGATTTATCGGGTAGACTTCGGGGAAATGGATTTTTGGAGAAGTAGAGAATTTCGAAAAGTGACAGTACTCGCAAATACCACCCACAATGTCAATTCACAGTAACACAGTCACAGTTTATGTTCTTGTCCTCATCTCATCTCGTGGTCCATAAAGAGTCGGCAGTGGCGCCTGGTTGACGCCGGGGAATGGAAAAGAGTGAATGAAAGAAGACCCCTCCAACCGCTCTCCTCTTCATTTTCTTTTCATTTTTCACTCCCCCATTCCCCTCCCTATATCGGTTGTGAATGCCCTGATAGGGGGGGAGAAGTGAAGAAAATCAAAAGAAGATTCCTATCAATTTTCCCCTCCAAACTAGCGACCGTTTCCCTCCTCCACAATTCCTTTTTTTCCCCTTCGTCCCTTTCAAAGAAGTTCTTCTTCAATTTCTTCTCTCTTCTAACAACAAAAACGCCAATCGATACACATCGATATCTCCATCACTTTTTTAATCTAGTGAATGGAATTTGGCAACGATCCAACTGGACCGCATCGCTTTCGTCGAATCTTCCTGCAATCGACTCGATCCAATCACTGTTTTGTGCTTATTTGAAAGATTTGAATCGTTCAACGGATTTGAACTCGACAAAGTCAAGTCCCTTTCAATCAATCTTGAGTTGTTTCTTCGTTGAGCGCTGGAGAAACGAAAGAGTTGGTTGTGGTTGCGGGGAGGAAAGGTGAGCCGAGACTCCGCCCAATCATTGACGGGAAAGCTCTCGGGAAACCTCGATCCCCCTCAACTCAGAAATTCCCGTTGTGGGAAAACGACGAGATTCGCGAGAAACGACGAGCGAAACGACGAAACTGTCTCCCGACAACGAAAATCACGACAACGAATACAACGATCGATCGAGATCCCAACGAGCACTGTCACTTTTGAAAGAAGAATGGAAAATCGAGAGATGATGGAAACATCGAGAATTCATCAATCTTCATCTTCTTCAATCCCCAAAACGAAAACGATAAAGATGTTCTATTTTCTCGTCATTTTGAGCTGTTTCATTGGAATGGTGACGGGAAGACCGCAAGATTTTGAGAAGACAGAAAATCACAAAGTGCATAGGTGAGTTTGAAATAGGAAATTGAAATGGAAAGGATTTTCACTTTGCACTTTGACCTTTAGTGGCACTTGGTTAAGCTTACTTTTTAAGGCTTAGTGATATTCTTTGTAATGGTTATAAACCTCTCTATTAGAATGGTCAGCCTTGTTAATGGCTGGCCTAAGCCTAAGCCCTTTTTTCGATCCGTTTGCCGTTGGCAATCTATTTTTTTCGTTTCTTAGCTGGATTTTATTTGAAAAACGTTTAATTTCCTTTCATTCGACTTGAAACGAAATTTTCTATCGAATGAATGAAAATTCAACGTTTTTTCAAACAAATCCGGTCAAGATACGATCAAAATCCGATTGACAACGGCAAACGGATTGAAAAAGGGCTTAGGCCAGCCATTAACAAGGCTGACAATTGATAATAGAATTTAGATACGATCGGCTTTAATGGCTTTTAGAATTTAAAATTTGCTCTATAACAGTTGAATCTTTGATAAACAAATTAACAACGATATTTGAGTTTTTATATGAGCTTTGACAAGTACAACTGTAATATTTACTGCATTAAGTCTACTACTTTTAAAAAACCGATGTCTTTCTTGTAAAATCAATTTCAGTCAATAAAAATTTTTCATTTCAACAAAATTTCAGCCTTCACAAACGCCACCATTTTTTATTGCCCTACACTTCTTCCTCTTCCCATATCGAGATGCGAAATGAGGAACTGAGAAAAAATCAAAATGAGATGAAGAAAATCCCGAACAATCACGATTCACCGCATGAAATAAACGAGAATCACATATTTCAGCATTCTGCCGCTTCTTTTCGTGAGTTTAGTTAAAAAACTGCATATTTTATCTATCTTTTGAACAATCTAATAGTATTGATTGAGTTTAGTTATTAAAAAAATGATCTTTATCAAGCTATCTAGCTTTTAAAAAATTCAGAGGAGAAAATCGATCGAGATGCCCGGGATCTCGAGGTGGATTCGGTGAGAACGAATGACGATGGATCGATTGATCTCACCGCCACGCATAGGTAGATATTGAAATTGGATATGAAAGAGAAAAAGAACTATACGCTTTCCAGGATCTCACCAGTTAGATCAGCTAATCTGTCTTTTTCTGGCTAAAGATCTACCAGAATCTGTTTTTTTCACACAAAATCTCCAGTTTTTTTTCAGATTATCAAAAAACGAGAAAGAAGCGTCAGATTCCGGTGAATCCCCTGTGCATTCTCCGTCTGTAATCGGTTCAAATGGCTATGAATCAATGTCAGAAAAAGAAGGACATTACGTATATTCGGTTGGAAATGATACTGGAAAAAAGAAAGCAGCGCTTGCAAGTGAGGAAAAAGTACACGAAAAACTATTTAACGATTCTAAAATCTACCTCAAATTTCTTGCGTAGCTGCCCAACGATTGCGTTTCGCTGGGCAGCTACGCAGAAACCAAGGGCTTTTTTTAGAATTTCAAAATCATTATTTCAAGAGTCGACTGTATTTGTCATGCATTTGTTTCTTTTGTTTTTTGTTTCTTAAATCCCATTTTCAGGTTTCCAAATGCTCAAAGCTGAATCAGATACAGATGAGGTGATCGAAGTCGTACAAAAGCCAAAGAAAAATCCCAAGACTTATTTAACGGTAAGAGATTTGATTGGTCTGTTGAATAGGGGTTGAAAATAAAGGCTATTTTTCTTTTTCAAAATAAAGGCTATCATCAAGATTGTGCGGCTGTGTGAAAAACGAAAAACGAAAATTGCGTCGAATGGAATTGCCAATTTGGAATTGCTTTACGTTGCGCGAGTCTCATATCAAAATGTAGCCCTTCAATTCGGCTAAACGATTGTATAAAAAACGTTTCGAAAAACTCTTGTTTAGTACAAGAAAAATGGCGGCAAAGTGAGAGGCACCGACTGTACATTGCAATACTAACAACGACCCGAATCGTCTTTTCTCTCTTTTCTCGTCTATAAGGCACCTATTTGAGAAAAATACCGTAGTCAAAGCGTCAGTTTACATCAAACCAACCCGATTTTGGTATCATCTGAGCCCAAGTCTAAGCCCGAGTCTAAGCCTGAGTCTAAGCCTGAGTCTAAGCCCGAGTCTAAGCCTAAGCTGGATCTGACTTCTGGCATAACAAGGTTGAAAAAACCTAGCGAACACGCCATAAAGTACACACAGACGATGAATAAAGCTAGCTAAAAGCTTAAAATTTCGAAAGCTATTTCATCATTCGACTATTTCAGACTCTTCCATCAGAAGAGCGCGTCCGTGGCGTTCACAAAACCCGCAAAAAGAAGCCCGGTTTGTTTTTTTCGATTCAATTTTTAATCTGAAATCGAATTTCTTTAATTTTCCACCATTTCTTCATTCCATTCACATCACTTTTCCCGTTAAATTTTCTTCTTCAAAAATCCCAAAATTTTTGCCAAATTTCCAAATGAAATTGGCGCCATTTCGGTTTTCCGACGAGACTTTTTTATCGTTTTTCTTTGCCTCAAAAATTTTTCTTTTTCAAGCATTTTTCTCTTTCTTCTTCTTGTAAAGAAAGAGCTGCACTAGGCACTTTTTCGGGGACTCTTTGAATGTGTTCAAAGTTGTGCAAAGATTATTGAAGACTTTGAGATGACGTGGAATTGTTGACGGCAAAATTGAAATTAGACACTAAACCGATTTGTGCGTTTTTTTTCTCGTGTCCTATTTGAAAATCAGGATCTGGGCACACTTTAAAACAGTGGGTAAAGTCCGTCCCTTGATCGTAATCCAGCTAATCTAGACTGAATGCCCAATCTAGACTAAATACCGTAATCGAGCTAATCTAGACTGAATGTCCTTGATCTGTCTCAAAATATGTTTTTAGTAACCATGTAACCGATCGATAGCAATTTGTTCATTACCATTAGAGCTTTTCGAATTAATTTATTTTGAGTAAATTTAAAATAAATAAAGGAAATTTTTAGCTTTAACCAAGTTGTTCATGCTGATTTTTTTGAAATGCTATATGTTGTAGAAGTAGATCCTCGCGACTGTTGTTGTTGTTGTAACGTAATTGATTTGCTTGTGGAATAACCGTTAGGGGGTAGGCTAGTTTCCGCAACTTTTTTGCGCAACAGGGTCATTTGCGCAACTGGGTCTTTTGCGCAACTCGGCATAACTTTCTTCTAAGTGGGCTAATCTTTATGATTTTGATTTCATTTTGTTGCACTTATTGAGATCTACAAAATGAGACCAAAATCATAAAGATTAGCCCACTTAGAAGAAAGTTATGCGGAGTTGCGCAAAAAGACCCAGTTGCTCAAATGACCCTGTTGCGCAAAAAAGTTGCGGAAACTAGCCTACCCCACAGTTAGCGTTTATCCAGAGTAATGAAGATAAATAAAAGAACCACAATCGATTCGTAGAAATGTAGAAAAAAATGATGGAAGAAAGCGAAAATAAAAAATAAAATGGCAGAAACTACAGGACGTTCCTAGTGACAACCTAGACAGACGTGAAAGGTGCACTTTAGAAAACGACAATTTTGTGGAAAGTATAAAACGCTCTCTTCCCAACACTAAACAAAACACAGATTTCATCTCCCCATCTTTCCATTTCCATTTCCATTTCCATTTCCAATTTTCTTCTCTCTTCTCACATTCGGAAGTAGTGATTTTACAAGGCTTTTACAACCAATCGAAAGAGGGGAAAATATCGAGAAGAACGAGCAAAAAATTCGAGTCATTCACGGTATTTCTCTCCCTCATTTCTTATTTTTGGTCATTTCATTTTGAGGAGATAAGATTGCTCTTCTAATGAATTAAAAACACATTTATAATTGATGTGTGTTTAGTTTTGAAGGGGGAAAAAAGAGGAGAAATGGTCGAGAAAGGCTAGAAGAGGATGATAGATTTGTTCACGGTATCATTGCCGAAACGATTTAATTATTAGTAACTGTCAAAGCAGTACTGAGTCAAAGCAGTACATTCTACTAGACGATCGTACTAATAGGAATCGATACGTTCAAATCCAGTAGACATGGGAAATCAACTAATCAACCTGACTCAAAAGTCTTGGCTTAACTCAAACTTTTCGGGTTTTCTGGTCACCCGATTCCCCGTTTAGTAACCAGGTTAGATCAGACTCTGATTCGGTGGGACACTTTTGTAAAACAGCCCAGATTAGCAGTTAGAGTGTGTTCCTTCCGAGTAGACTTGCTTATCGAATAATCGATACAAACGGCAAGCGCATGTTTGACTGTTCAGATCTCGGTTTCTAGGACAGCTATCAATCTGCAAATTGTTTCATTGGAAAGCCAAGAATGTTAGCTTTTGATTGCTATCTCACACATAGCAAATTCTCATGGGTGAGTGCCTTAAAAAGCTTATCAATACTTATCGATAAGCTTATCGATAATCGAGCAAATCTACAGTCGAACTTCGATATAACGAACACTCCCAACGAAGGGTTTTACCTTAAAATAACCTTCGATATAACGAACTTTTTGGCCGGCCGCTTGAGGTTCGTTATACCGAAGTTGGGCTGTACTTCCGAGTAAATAATTACTCGAGTAACGATATCTTTAAAAGGAGTCGTGTATAAGTCGACGCTCGTGATTTTTTTCGCGTCAACTTCGCGACAACGGTAGTTTGAGCGTACAGTCGCGTAGTCGTTAACTGTTTTACGGATAACTCGGTGAAGATTCAAAAATAAACTAGTTTAAAGAGGAGATTCAGAGCTATCGAATGACCATAATCTTTTAGTTTATTTTTGAATTTTCACCGATACAAAGTGGTCGAGAACTTTCTGAATAATAAAATTCTTAAAAACGAGTTGACACCAAAAATCAGCGTCACCGGTGAGTCGTATCGTGGTGAATGTGTTAAATATCGTATTTCCCAAGCTCTAATCTCATAATGAGCGATTTACGATTCATTGTTGTCTTAATAGAGTAGTTATGGTATCATTGTCCACTTTTTTTTTGCTTCTCGATCGTATTTTGACAATGAATGGGTCAAAGTTTTACCTCAAGGTGTAACTCGAGTCTTCCCTTGAAGAGTACAACATCGAATCCAAACCATTCTCATTTTCCAGAACCCATCCTCCTCCTTGTAACCTTTTATCTCCCTTTTGTCATTTCAAATCTCTTATCACCTTTCATTCCTTTTCTTTTCTTTACCCCTTTTCTCTCTAAAGTTGTCCATTTTGTAATTCAACACCATGGTCATCCCTTTCTTCTTTTTTTCCTTTTCTTTTCAATGACAATCACTCGTTGATCTCAACTTTCTTCTCGAAACAAGGGGATCGACTCGTTTTGAGAATTGAAAATGAGTGGGGGAGTTGTTTGGCGAAAATAAAACGGCTTTTAAAGCCAAAATACAGTTGGTAATCCTTTCTTTCTTCCTTTCTTCTTTCTTTCTTCCTTTCTTCTTCCTTTCTTCTTTCTTTCTTCCTTTCTTCTTCCCCTTCGTCTTTCCCTCTTTCTGTTGGCAAGTTAAGGTACTGGATAGCTCACTGGTTAGAGAGTAGAAACCGAAAAGCGAAAGCTCGACGGTTCAAACGCCCTCCTCTACTTTTTTTTTGCGAATTCCTTCACTTCTTTATCATGCAAATATCAATAAATACAAAGCTAGCTTACTAAATACAGACAAATACAAATCTAGCTTAAGATTTACTGCATACTGTATTTCCCTAATGAACTTTAATGAATTCAGTTCATTAAAGGCTTTACCTTTAATGAACTTTAATGAAATTAAAGGCTTTACCTTTAATGAACTAAGAATTTTCTCCCAAGTCCATTGAGTTTCGAGTTTTTTTCTCTTAATTTTCAACTCCAATCAGAAAATATTCATTACTCTTTGCAAACAAAATTCCTTTTCTATACAGGGTGCGTCATAATTATTGCAACAAGAGTTCAAAGACCGTTTGTGATGTCAAGAATGTGATGTCATGGGCGTGTAAAGCCAATAACAATCAAAATTGAACCTTCATGCAAGATGGAGCTCCCGCTCACACGAAGAAGACGGTTCAGGACTGGTGTGTGGCCAACTTTCCCTCAGTGATCACCAAGGATGAATGGCCTCCAAACTCACCGGATCTCAATGTGATGGACTTTTCCATTTGGGCAATCTTAGAGGCTAATGTCTGCTCTCGAAAACACAAAAGTTTGGATTCTTTGAAGAAGTCTTTGACCAAAGGATGGAAGGCGACTCCTCAAGATGACATTCGGGCCGCAGTGGAGGCATATCCGAACCGATTAAGGGCTGTTATCAAGGCAAAAGGCGGTCATATCGAATGATCTCTTGTTTCCTTATTTGTTACTGTTAAATAAAGCTATTTCTGTTTAAAAATCTTCTTCCAGTGAAACTTCTTGGTGTGCAGTGCCTTGAGTATCTTGTTGCAATAATTATGACGCACCCTGTAGGTTGAATGATTTGAATCGAATTTCCAAGCACATTCCCATCTGACAATGACACTTTGCAGAGTGAACTTTGATCAAACTTTTTCCAAAAAAAAAATAACAAAATGAATGGAGAAAATCATGCAACCATGTGGCCATGAAAAAAAGGGAAAAAGATGAGATGAAAAAAGTGATTGGGTGCGTCAATGGGATCTCTGTTAGATTTGGGAACAGGAGTGAGCGAGAGTTTCTCTTCTTCGATGGAAAGATCAACCTCTCTTTTTTTTCTTTTCCGATTCATCCATCATCTTTACACGTTTTTCTTTTCTTTTTTTCCTTTTGGCCTTAAAAATTTTAACCCCGGTCACTTTCAGGAGAAATTATGAAATGACGTAGGGGGGATTCATTTTTGCTCTTGAAAATAAAGATTCCAGGCCGAAATGAGGCATTGATGACAGCGATGCAAGCTGATAAGCATAAGGTTTGTATTACAGTAACCTTAGAAATACTATAATTGTAGGAAATTTATTCTTTTCAAAGTCGATTTCTCAATTCTCTTTTTAGGATCAGAAGTGTCGGACTGGAGTGTTTAAACAGCATGTAAAGATGCCTGGTTGTTTGACAAAAGTCATCTTTAACAGGTATATTGATAAAGATTTCAAAGAAAAGCAAAGCAAAGCAAGAGCAAGAAAAGCAAAGCTTTAAAGCAAAGATCATTCAAAGTTTTCTAGATTTTGTCACGGCTCGTGCACCTCATTTTTCATCCCGAGAATGAGACCGAATCGGCTGAAGGTGAGGGGAAATAGGCTTGGAAAATCAGGAAAATAAGATGAAGAAAATAAGTTGTTTGTTATAAAGTATAAAATATCGTTAAGAAAAAGGTGAGAGATCCTTCAAATGTCAAGAATTTCAGGCCTCATTTCAATCGTGTGCTGCATGCATTCCAAAGCATTACGACAAAATGGACGTGACTCTTGACTGTAAGTTCTTTTTCATGTTTCTAGTAAAGGATTTGATTCTTGATTAGGTAGCATTGGAGGGATTATCCACAAAGATATCATGTTGTTTAGGTCCTGGAATGGATCCACCACAAGTGACAAGGACAGTCGTTATTGTGAGTTTGAGAGAAATAAAAGATATAGTCCTACTGTAAGTAGCGTATACCAAAATACAAAAGAGTCTACGTTAAGGGATACTGTAGCTCAGATGTGATCCTAGCGAGTACTTTTCCAAAACGTGGATAACTTAGACAACTACCGTAATCTTTGTTTATTGGACATTTGATACGCGCCCCGCCCCTTTTACCATTGGCAATCTTGAGCTCAAATTTCTTGGTGTTGGGCTTTTCAATTTATAAATTATTGATATCATTAGATGCGCTAAGTCTTTCTCTATCGATTGGTACAAAAAATTATTTAAATTGGACAACCTAGCACCAAAATATTTAAGCTCAAAGTTAGATTGCCAATGGCAAAAGGAGCAGGGCGCGTATAAAAGGTCCGTCGCCCCGCCCATTTTGCCATTAGCAATCTAACTTTGAGCTCAAGTATCTTCGTGTTGGACTGTCCAATTTAAATAGTTTTTATACCAATCGACAGAGAAAGACTTAGCGCATCCAATGATACCAATAATTTATAAAAAAAGCTCAACACCAAGATATTTGAGCTCAAGGTTAGATTGCCCATGGCAAAATGGGCGGGGCGACGGACCTTTTATACGCGCCCTGCTCCTTTTGCCATTGGCAATCTAACTTTGAGCTTAAATATTTTGGTGCTAGGTTGTCCAATTTAAATAATTTTTTGTACCAATCGATAGAGAAAGACTTAGCGCATCTAATGATATCAATAATTTATAAATTGAAAAGCCCAACACCAAGAAATTTGAGCTCAAGATTGCCAATGGTAAAAGGGGCGGGGCGCGTATCAAATGTCCTACAATCGTAATCTTTCCTTAATTATGATCTTTATTCGATAAGAAATTAAACTATAAATCGAATGAGGCCAAAATTAAGCAAAGGAGGTAACATCTGGAGACAAGATTACAATAGGATTCCAAATTCCAATGGATAATTCCATTATCCACCTATCCACCAATTCCATTGCTCAAAACAAATGTTTCAGGTGAAAAAATGCGAATGTCTGGCGGTGAATGCACGGCCTGTTGGTTAAGCAATGAAAGAAGAAAATGAGAGAATTTTTGTTGACAAAATGTGCACCCTAAATAGATTAGAAAGGACGTTCGAACGAAAAAAAAACAAAACCAAAAAAAAGCCCATTGATGAAAAGATGAAGAAGAGAGCTGTGACCAATTTGGATGAGAATTTCGAATTTTCTCCATTTCGTTGACGCGGTGATCTTTCTCGAGTAAATGGGCGAATTATCCGACGATCGACTTATTTTTATTTCAAAACGAAAACGATTCGCGGAGACAAATGACGCCCTTTTTTTGACTTTTTCCCTACACATCCATGTTTTTATTTTTATGGAAAATCGTGGACTTTTTTTTTTGCTTAACTTGGTGCACCATTTTGAGCAATCTTTTCCAAAAGAAATCCCTTACTAAAAACCCCGCGATTTTCTACCGTAATCCTTTCCATTTCCCCCCAAATTTTATATATATTTTTTTGTTTGTTTAAGAGCTACAAATGTGATGTGTACAAATAGAGAATCCTCGACTTTTCGTCTCGCTTTGATCCGTTTTCATGTCAAAAATTCTTCAGTTTTTGACATTTTTCTCGAATTTTCAATGCATTTTTTTCTGTGTGAAAAAAAATGAGTGTGTTTGTGAGCTTCTTCATTTTCTTTTGGTTGACCCGAGCGTCTAGAATTAGTGCTTTGATTTTTGTCTTGCTGCAAATTCAATTGTAGTTGTTAACAATATACGAGAGTTGAACCCGTGCCTTTTTTTTGCGACCCGGGAAGTTTTGGGTGAGAAATGAGAAAGAGGAAATTTCGGCCGAGATTAAACCAGAGCCCCTTAATTGGCAGCCGATTGACTGAAAGCCGAACGCGCTAACCATTAGACTACACAGCATATTTGATTTGGCAGCCGATTGACGGAAAGCCGAACGCGCTAACCATTAGACTACACAGCCTTAAAATTGTCCACAAAAATCATTTCCTCCCGAAATTCTTCCCAAAGCTTCTTCTTATTTCCTTTTTTTTCCCTTCATCCCTCTTCTTCTCCAAACAAAACCCAATTGATCTCAAAAAAAAAATGCGAAGATTTTCCCGAAACAAGCAACGATTTGTATCACTTTTTATTATCGAAAATCGATCGACTTGTGATTTCTCTTTTCTTTTACTTTTCCCCATTTTTCAGAATCTTTTCTTCGTTTAGTCGTTTCATTCGTAGCGATTCGAACGAATTTCCTTCATTTATTCATATCGATTCGAAAAACAAGTTCACCATCTTGCAGTTAATGTGATTTCTACAGAATTTCTTTTCAATTACCCCTTATTATCCCGATTTTTTTTGTTTTTCTTTCCTACTAACCCATTTTCTTTGTTTCCTTTTTTGTTCAGCTAACCGGGTTCGACTTTTCGATGTCTCCAGCCATTTTTTTGTGTGTCTGTGTTTTCAACGATTTTTTTTTCGCGCTTTTTCTCTTTTTGGGTTTTTATTTTGCTCACTCACATAAAGTATATTTTGAAAGATTCGAGATTTTGATTTGAAAATGCATTGCTAAACAAAAGACATAAATTAGAAAGTATTCTATTTGATTTGATCAGATACGATCAAAAGTATTCCAAAAGTTTGAAAACCACAAGTTAAATATGATTTTTACAAAAATGAAATGGTTTTAAAGATTTCACGAGATTCAAAAAAAAGTTTACGGGGGAGGGACAAAGGTGCACCTTTTTTTGCGCACCCGACCAAAAGCGCACCTTTTTTTTCGCTGGAAAAGGCCGTAGAGCTTTAAAAATGTTTCCACACAGGGGAATCATATGCGTAGATTCCGAATTTCGACAAATTAGAACTCGCTGACACGTCAAATTTAGGCTAAGAGGCAAAAACTGCGGAAAAGCGTTAAGTTGCATAGTTTTTGCCTTTTAGCCCAAATTTGATGTGTCAGCGAGGTCTGATTTGTCGAAATTCGGAATCTACGCATACGATTCCCTTCTATGAAAACATTTTTGAAGCTCTACGACCTTTCCTAAGGCCTTTTCCAGCAAAAAAAAAGGTGCGCAAATGTCTCATCCCCAAAAAGAGTTTACGACAAGAAAACTCAAAATTTGCAATTAATTTGCATACGAAAATAAAATCACGAAAAAGTTTTTTCATTTCTCATTATTTCAACAATCTGTTCATTTCACGAGTTGGTGCAGAACGATGACCGTCGCCTACATGAAAGATGCGGCTACTGCAACTCCTTTCTCCTTTCATAAAGTGAGTTATATTCGTAGAATATGTACCGTAATACCTGTAATAGTAGCCCGATAATGACCTACAGTCGCGTAGTCGCTAAAGTAAATCATTTTTTTGAACTAGCCCAGATTTTTCTAAAATAAACTGTTAGTACTAAAAAATTCTTCGCTTCAAGCGCTATCTTTTGATATCTAAGCGCACATTTTTTGTCGAAGCAGCGCTGAGAACCGAGCGTCACAAAATTGTGTGTTAGACTACGCGACTGTACGGGGGGCTACTATTACAGGTATTGCGGTAGTAGGTCTGATGTAACGGTGCTAATACATAGGTGGTAAACTTATACCATCCGGCTGATAATTTGTTTCCTTTTTTGTTTTCCTAACTTTTTTGAGTAATCAATCTTTGAAGTGCTATCTAAGCTCTTAAAGGCAAAACTGAAAAAAACTTATCAAAATGATTGTGAATGACGAGAAAATAGGTAGCTGCTGCAAACAGTTCTCTGCAAATTTAGTAGCCCATCGTTTCCTTTATGTTATCATGCCATTCTCTGTTCAGTTTAGTCATTCAAATCGTGATTTTTAGTTACTGTTTCGATGGAAAGGCTCAGTATGGAAATTGGTGATCAACGAGTTGTGTGTGTGGCTTTACATCTACTTCATCATCAGCTTTATCTATCGTTTCGTGATCGTTGAGACGGACTTTGAATCGAAGTTAGTTTTGCGTGGCCTTTACACGTGTATTTTTCTTTACAGCTTCGTTAAAGTGGTCAAGTATGTGGACAGTTTAATGGCCCCGACCGGCACTTCGGTGACATTTGTGCTCGGTGATTCGGTTTGATATGTTTGAGACTTGCACATGCACAACTTCTGCTTCTCTGTTTTTCTCTCTATGTTTGTGCGTTGATTAATCTTTTATGTCACAATTAACACTTTTGATTGACTCTTTTCGTACGTTTTTGTCATTTCAATATCTGAATCTAAGAATAGGTAAGGCTAGATATCTATTGTTTATTAATAGAATGAGTCAATCGCTCTTCGGCGACTCTGAGAAGGCCCCAATCAAGAAGAAGGTTCATTTTTTATTTTAAAAGAGCTTTTTACTGGAAGTTTAGAATCGAATAGACGATCAATTTCTTCTTCACTATCTTCATCAGCAATTTTTGATGTGCCCTCGCCAGTGTCGATGCGGTTTCTCTTCTTTCTTCGAATCCACGATGGGAAAAGGTCCAACAAAAAATCGAGACCTTTTCCTGATGCACTCGATGCCGAGATCCAAAAATGGCTTAACATTTCCGCCAAGGCCTCCATAATGAAGTTGTGGAACACTGCTTTGTGCTTTGCGAGAAGTCTAAGAAAATTGATCGCTGGTATATCCTTTGCAATTCCTAGATCTGCCACTCAGCACGCTCCCGCGTCCCAGAATGCCCCTAACTCAAAAAGAATTCTTGTTGATTATATTGTCTCTAATGTGCTTATTTTTGTGCATGTGGTTCTGTTTGTGATAATTGTTGTGCATGGGCTAGGCTTATTAGTCGTTAAGCTGTTGGTTCTTTACTTTTTACTAACAGATGATTTTCAGGTTTTTATGTGAGCATCATCGCTACCCGGTAAGCATTTCACTTTTATGCGTTTTTCAATTATTTTTTAGATGGTGGAAAGTGTTCATGGCGATCCCGTGGCCCGATACAATCGCGTTGACCATTGCCGCGTTTTACTTTGATCGAAGAGAAGCTAGGGTAAGCAATAATAACTTTTGATAATCACTTTTGTTGTTTAGTTTAAAGCAGAAGATCAAATGACAAGATGCACGGTGATTCGATATCTCGTTCTCTCGTATGTGCTCGTATTTCGTGATATCAATGAGAGAATACGCAAACGATTTCCCACTCTTCAACATCTTGTGAGTTTAAAAAGTGTTTCCAATAGAAGATATATAGTTTATGTCTCTAGAGCATTAAAATATTAATATTTTAGGCTCAAAACTTAGCGACAACCGAAGAGTTGCGAATGATCGCACAAGAAGAACCGACTCTGAGATATTGGATGCCGATTGAATGGTTGAACTTCCGTTTATCTCAAAAAAAAAACAATTTTTTTAGGATTCTCCTTTTAATGAAAGCTGGATTTAATCGAAAACAAATCGCTGAAGATCATTATAAAATGCTCATTGAGGTTTGGTTCCTTTTCTATTTTTATATTATCTGTTTTAGAAAATCCTTGAATTCCGAACAAAACTACAAAATCTACAACAATTCGACTTTGTTAATGTGCCATTGGCGTATACTCAAGTGTGTTTTTGGCACTTTTACATTTAATTACCATGTTGACTTGTTATTTTTAGGTAGTCAACGTGGCTGTGTTCACTTATTTTGGAATGGCGCTTATAGCAAAGCAATACATCGGAATAAAGGTTTTATTCTGCTCCTTTTAAGCATAACCGTGCATAATTTAGAGCGAAGTAGATGTAAACCATCGAGTCGATTACGCGATCCCATTCTTTACGATTCTCGAGTTTCTATTCTATGTTGGATGGTTAAAAGTCGCTCAGGTATCTATTTCGAAGCAAAGCTTAAAATAAACACCAATTTTAGGTGATGTTAAATCCGTTTGGGCTTGACGATGATGATTTTGATATTGACTTGCTTGTCGAGAGGAATTTAAATGTAATTATGAGTCCATAATAGCAATTTTGTGGGTTTCTCTAGGTTGGTCTCTCAATCGTTGATGATTTCTTCGAGAAGCATCCACCGCTCGTTCATCTCAAAGTCACAGCCCTTCCACATACAATTGCGTCGGCTAAAGTATAATTTTTATATTAGTATAACTAGCCAGTCCCTGATTTAATCTCATAGTTAAAGATTTCCATTATTAAACATAAACTTTTAGGATATCGAACAATCCAATCCGATGAGAGGCTCCGTCGCCCAATTAAAAGTGCCGAAACGACTCCAAAGAGTCGCACCAATTGCCAAATTCAACATCAATAATAATGTCGGTTTTTGACTTTAATTCTGAAAGTTATAACTATTTAGCTTTTCCGTCCACCTCGCCATTTGATAGAACAACAAACCATTGACATCCCAGAGACGCCTGTCGTTGGAGTAGTAAGAACTTTTTGCCTATACTGATGTGTCATTGACTGCCATTTTAGGAAGTTCCTACAGCTACAGCGCCATCAACTACAGTAAGTACTTTTATTTCATTTCTATTATTTTTCATATCTAGTATCAAACCATAAACGAGAAGGCGCCACTTCTAGAAGAGGATAAAACGCAGATGGATGAATCCGAGAAAAAAGAGAAAGAGGTGGCTCTAGTTTTCGGATTCAACTTCAATTTGAATTTAGGCACCAGCGAATAACATTAGTCATACGGGCAAAGAGAAAACCCACAGAGTAGTGGCTCAAAATGGACGACCAGCTAAATCTGCAAGCACTCAAGTGGATTTTTGTCTCTGGCAATTAGGTCGTTTTTTCTAGTTGGTCTCAATGGCAACTCCGACAATGACACCACACGTCAGTCAACTTGAAGTTGGTATTCTCAATTTTGAACATTGCTTACGTAAGCGCAAAGTAAAATGCTTGTGAAGTAACTTTGTTTTGTCAATATCTTGCTTAGAGTCTGAATTTCAGACTGCTTTCGCGGCTAACAGTGAATTGAGACGAGCACAAAGTCGGGCGCTGAGCCAAGATCGAGGGCGGAAGGAAGAGCAAGAACGATACCGATTGATGACACCCAAATCTGGATCCACTGAGGCCACTACTCAAATCTCGACCTCCGCGATAAGCACAACAAAAGCGCCAAGAAGCACAGCGGTGGGTTCTATTTAACCTTTTAAATTTATTGTCTATTTTTCTATTTAGTCACCAGTTACTGCCTTGGGAACCTCAACATCGACACCGGATGTGTCAAAACAGATAAATGGTAGGTTTTTATGAGTTATTACTATACACGAATAGATTTTTTTATGTGATCAAAGTCGCGTTCTTCGTGCTACCATGCCTGGCAGATCTCCAAACGCATCGACAAATGACACCAAATAAAAGATTGAAATCTCTTTCATCTTTCAGCATTTTTTGTGTTTTTTGTATGTAAATGATTCGTGTGTCTAGTCAGTATTTTTCTCATTTAATGATCACTTTTTATTAATTTTGTGGTCATCTTCGTTGAGTTCCTTTTTTCTTACTAATAACTTTTGAATAAATTTTGAAAAAATTTTTCAAGCTGAAAGAAAGAAAAAGCTTAAAAAAATTCCAAGCAATGAAAAAAGTGTCGAGTTTCTTACAGAATTTTATTTAACGGTCAAGACATGATCCAAGACTGGTGCTGTCTTATCTTTAAATTTTGTATATGAAATTTTTACTTGATTGAAACCTTCACACCGAAAGTTTTGACTCATTTCTTTTTTTTATCAATTCATTTCCAGGAAGATCAATCTTTAATTTCTTCTTATTTCATTAATTTTTTTGATAGTTTTACTCGTTTTATTTAGATTTTTTGAAGAGAACTGAAAGAGAAGAGAAGAGACATTTGAAAGAGAAGCAACGGATAACAGAAAAGCTGTCTCGATACAAAGAAAGAAGAGAATGATGATCCCGGTGATGAAGTGGTGAGCGACTTGAAGCATTATTGTTGAAGAGAGGTTTGGAAAAGATGAAAATACGTTCTAGGTTTCTTTTATTAAGAAGCTTATGTGCTTTTTGCCTTCAGACTATTCCAGCAGCGGCTCGTCGCACGACTTCTTCTCAAGTACAGATGAAACAAGCTCAGAAAAGGATGCACGATTGAAAAGCTGTTATGTAAGTTTGAGTCCTTTATACATTTAAAATAATTTTTTACAGGGCTCAAGCAAAAGAGGAAGAGAAGAACTTTTTGAAGTATCGGAAACAGGAAATTCTTTTCAATTATCGTCCCAAAATGACAGCCTGTCTTCGGTCAGCTGGCCAGCACCGGCTCCTAAGTCTTTTTGTTTGAGAATTTAAGGTTTCTAGGTTGGATTTATTGACGTGAATAGTTATCTGTTGGCTGAACTGAGTTAAATGAATCTCTTCTAGGCATCATGTGCAACATGATGGTGACGAAGAGCCGGTTGACGACAAAGGTTTTGTGGACACGGTGAATAAAGTGAGTTTTTGTCTTTGTGTGCAATCTTTCATACTCTTTTTAGGGAAATAATTTGAAAAAAAGCCTCTGGTGAATGGAATTCCTTTCTAGACAATAAATACCGAACAAGAAGAAGTCACCGACGAGGATTTGCCCATTGATATGGAGGTTGTCGAAAAAGTGAGTTTATTTGATGCCTTTTTGACACACAATGGCGCACAATGGCTCCGCACCTTAGAGGCACGTGGCTCGCCTGATTCCAGCTAGAAGCCACGTGCTTCTGGTACGAAACTTACCTCAGCCGAACCAGACTCAGGCGATAGCCTAGGAGCCACGTGCCTCTATGGTGCTGCCTAGGTATAGGACGCAAAATCAAAATTCCTTATTTTTGCAAAATTTTTAAAATTTCCAAAAGTTGCGTTTTTGATTAAAAATCTACCCTAAAAATGTCATATTCGTACTCAGCGTACTCAATTACCCCGTGAAAAGTGGTTTTGGCGGAAAAAGGTGCCCCCCAAAAGCCAATAGTACCGCCGTTTGAAAAGGAACTTTTTGATGTGTGGAACATTCTTGGGTTTTTTGGCTCTAGTAACAAAATTTTTCTTATTTTACGGAGAGCTTGGAAGTTTATGATAAGTTGTTTGAGCAAGACACGACTCTCTTCACGAACACCGTCGAAACGGTTCTCAATTTGTTTCCCAATCCTGCTCATAAGCCAAAATGAATCAGCTGCTGTTATTTTTGGTTTAATGTCCAATTTTAGAGCGAAATCAGAGCTGAAACGAAACGTCCGTTGTACTATCATGATGACTTGTGAGTTTTAGTTGTGTTATTTGTTGGTTTTAAGCTACTTCGTTTGATGAGGCCAACCGTGAACCACACAAGGAACGTGCCGTTTTACAAGAACAAGTCAAGGATATTCGATGAGAAGTGCTTTCAAAGGGATAACTTTTCTGCACGTGTTTTTAGTTGTGTAATACCCGAAATCACAAACAAAGCAAAAGCAGAAAAAACAGAAAGAACAATTAAATAATAAATAAACAATTAACTATATTATATTACTTTCTCCACTCGAACCTTCAGTTGCTTTGAAGGTCTTATTTCCATAAATGGCCTCTTCCAATTCGTAATTATTATTTGCATTTCCTTTCGTTCCGACATCTTTTCCCGATGAAATTCCATCGTAAATACCTAAAGTGATTAACAAATAGCAGTAAAACGAAAAAATCATACCAATTTCAACACGGAATCTCGCTTGATCTCTTAACACTGTAATCGCAGCAATTATAAAGAACAATGCCTAAATTGAAACAGTTTTGATAGTCATTATCATAACAACTCACCGAAATTCCACAAAGTGCCGAAGGAATATAAAAAGCGTATAACAAAGCATCAAATAAATCTCCTGGAGAGTCGCTCAATCTTATTCGATCAGAAAGCTAAACAAACACAAGAAATTTTAGCAGATACTGCATGCATTACCAATCCAACAAGATATGGTCCAGGGAAGAAATGTGAAATCAGATATTCCCATGCATTTGCTGAATTACGTCTAAAGTATTAAGTGTAATCTAAAAAGAATATGAACGAACCTCCATGGAACAATAATCGTCATTCGTAGATCGGCATTGATGGCCCAATTGAAGCAAAGTCCGGTCATAGCAACGAACATGAAGACCTAAAGTAGAATAAAGAATTTTAATTTCAAAGAACTAAATCAAAGTGAAATAAGTATTTCGTTGATCGAATTATTAACTTATTAACGGAAAATAAACATACGTAGCTAGCTTCGACAGACACTTTGATGAGTTGTAATCCACCAAAAAGAAATGGAGTTGCGATCAGTGCTCCAAGGGCACAAATGATTGGATCGGATCGTTTCGTTTGACAGCATTTGAAGCACAACTTTCCACTACGCAGCAACTAGAAATTATTTGAGATATGAACATTAAAAGCAAGATGTCATACCGTTGACAAAGCTGAACCCATAATTACTCCAACGATTCCACCAGCAATTGTGACGATTCCAAAGTAGATAGCAATACTAAAGTTATCGATTATTTGATTGAAATTGTTGCATACTAACTTTGCTTTATCATTTTCATCCAGAAGACTTGTAGAATTGAGCTTCATTTCGTGAGCTTTGGCATGTTGAATTGCTGTAGGAACCCACCTGAAAATAAAAAGAAATACGGTTGAATCATTCAGAATCTTACCATGAAAGTGTGCCAGTCACAAAAACAATGCATATATCGGCAATTGTTGAGAAAATGTAGGTGTTACTAAAATTTACGACTTTCTTTTGACAAAGAGGTTTTAAATCTTACTTTTTCATGAGGGCCCATAGATCATATAAGTAGGTCTTGATTTTTACCTTCAAAGGTGCATTCTCCATATCTTCTTTGCGTGTAGAATTCTAAAATTAACAAGATCAATAGAAATATCTTTAATTTACCGATGATTCATTAAGTCCTCGTTCTGGTTCAAATACAAATAATACAATCAGGATAACAGAAGTCACGCCTAAAATTTAAAAATTAAATTGTACTGGAAGGATTAAACACACCAAATAATGGTGTTAATCTCATTCCCCATTGCCATCCTCCCAGTTGTCTTGCCAATTGTGATCCAACCATGTAACCAATTCCACTGAAGCGCACAATATTTTACTTGCTTTATTCAAATGCATCAAACCTTCCAAATGGGATCGCCATATAGAACAACATCAACATCCACGAACGAGCTTTTCCAACGTACATATCACCAATAATTGTAGGAGAAACGACCGCATACGAGGCTTTACCGATTCCGACAACGCCTCGCATAATGAGAAACAGCCAAAAGTACTAAATAAACGTTGTTATCCATCGCAAGTTAATTCAATTTACCTCTTTAGCCACAAATGTTGATGCGAACACAGCAAGAACCCATACTAATATTCCGACGACCATAATCCATTTACGTGTGTATCTAAAAGAAACTTTCAGCTGAAGAACTATCCATTTTATACTTACCTATCTCCTAAGTATCCAAATATTGGACTGAACAACATGAAAGAGACGATAAAAACCGTTTGAAGTAATCCAGCCATACCATTGTCGATTTTATAAAAGCGTTGAATGTCGGTGAGAACAGCTGAAATTATACCAATTGTATTTTGTGTTAGTCTAGAAAGAAAGAAATCCAAGTTGTACATTTTTATATTACATTTAGATCAAATTTTAATATAGAATCAAAAATGTTGAAGCTTTTTCATTGCATGTTTACGACTAAAAAAGCACCTGCAATTGTATATCGATCAGCATAGTTGAGTAGATTGATGAAGAAGAGAATCAACACAGCAACCAGCTTCTGGCATTTCGAATGACGAGGTGGATCATCCATCGATCTAAAGAAATATGTAATGAAATTAAAGAATCGAATGGAATAAAACAAATAAGGAATAAAGAACGAATAAAGTTTTTTGTTACGTTTTAATGGAATCAAGAAGCACGCAAGCACAGCAACAGTAAGCCCGAAAAGTAAGCCAAAATTTGCATGAAAACCCGTAAATTTACATTTAAAAGAGGAAATTCGCATTTAGCAGATATCTCTCCTTACGTTTAGCACAAATTCTCTATCCGCGCGAACACAAAGACTTGGAGAGATCGAGGGTAAACATTTCACTCACAAAAGGAGAGATCATTACTTTCAAAGGTTTCGGTGTTTCTGATTCTGGAACTAAAGCTCTTTAATAGGCACTCTAAATAGTGATAGCCAGTGTGAAAACTGTTAATCTGATAAAAACTGATAAAAATTTGAGTGTGCAAACAGCACTCAAATTTGCATTTTAGTGGGTGCCATGAATCTGCATTTAATTTTTGCCAAATGACCCAAGATTGGAGTTAAACCCCACATTTCGTATTCTTTATTCTATTCGGCTATGGTTGATTTTCTCTTTCTGTTTATCAATCGTTTCAACCTTACAATGGTCAACAATCTCACTCTTGGACAGAATTACTCGGAGAGAACCAGGGTAGCCCGTCAAAAGAAGAGTTTTACTGCTGTTAATAGTGGACGCTTACCTTGTTGTGATCACGTTCAGCACTTGTCCCAGATTCTTGTTTACATTAGAAAAGGTTAATTGTTGTTATCTTTTTCCATTTTGTTGTTAATTTGGAAAAAAGTGCTATGGAAGTTTTTAAGATGGTGGTGAAAGCTTTGAAAAGTGCTTAAAAACATTGCCAAAAACTTCTGTTAAAATGACCCCTTTGCGCAAAAAAAAGTTGCGTAAATGACCCAATTACGCAAAAAATTTGGCAGAAAGTAACCACATACATTTGACACGTGTTTCGCCCCCTTTGCCATTGGCAATCTAACTTTGAGCTCAAATATTTTGGTGGTAGGCTGTCCAATTTAAATAGTTTTTGTACCAATCGACAGAGAAAGACTTGGCGCATCTAATTATACCAAAAATATTTAAACTGGACAACCAAACAGCAAGCAAGATATTTGAGCTCAAAGTTAGATTGCCGATGGCCAAAGGGGCGGGGCGCGTATCAAATGTCCGATAACCAAAATGAAAAGCTATTCGGTTTGGAAATGGGGCACAAAATAGAAAACGACTACAGTAGATTTCTGAATAATTAATAAACTTCGAAGAGTTTCGAATTTTAAACTGTCCTCCCAGTGTTGACGTTTCGATCTTGTTTTCAAATTTCTTTAATTCTTCACCAAAAATATGGTGAATCATGAAACGAATCATGTCTACGCTCTAATAAATAACTTTTCCCAAATACTTAGTGAATCACTGAATTATTTTTAAGACAAAAAATAACTGAATAGATCGGTAAATAACGAATTAAAAGATCTTTTTAGGTGTCCTAAAAGATATCCAAGACTACTATGATGTAAACGATTCGCAAGGCAGTTTAGTGCAAACTGTCTATTTCGCGTTTTTCTTCGTTTTCACCCACTTTTCCGCACAGGTCGGTGAATTGGGAAAAAAATTGATAAATAATTTGAAATTCAAATTCAGAGCATCGAGAAAATGGCTTCTTTCTGTTCGCTTTTCCCTTTGGATTGGCCTTGTCGTGGCTTCATCGTTGATACCGAAAAATGTAGATTTTCACTTATGATTTACAAAATCGATATTCAGTTATGGGCTCTATTCCTTGTTTCTCGGGGTCTCTCGGGAATCGGACAATCTTCATGCACCGTTTTGGCGCCCACCATAATCGGTATCAATTGATATCTTTGTGCACGAACGCTTACAATGTCTAGACAGTGCACTAGAAAGTAAAGGTTTGGGTTATAATGTCCGCATATTTTAGCTGATCTCTACTCGGGTACAAAACGATTGATGGCGTTGATGATGTTTTTCTTCATGATTCCCATTGGAAGGTACATATTTGTCGGCGAAACTCGAAAAGACTGAAAAAATAAATGGCCGGGATCCAGAGTGAAAAGTCTGATGAGAGTCTATGAAGCCAAATTTTCAGTGGACTTGGTTTTTTGAACGGAAGTCACATTGGATCGGCGCTTGGACATTGGCAATTTTTATTTTTCTTAGTGAAAACAAACGTCGACAACAAGAAAATGAAACGACGAGAACATTCTGGCAAGATTGCCTCAAAACTGTCGTTGTGTAAGTGGACGGGTTATCGTACGCATTTTTCTATGGTTTTTAAACCAAAGCTGTACAGTGGTGATCGAAAAATACATAATACTAGTATCAGGTCTTGGTACTAGGCCGGCAAAAAATGGAAAAATGAAAAAAAACGAAAGACGAAAATTTTCGATCAGCACTGACGCTGGATCTTGCACTACCAGACGGACTTTACCTGCCCGTATACTAGCTTCACTCGAATAAAAAAATGAGACTGGATTTTTAAACATTGATTCAAAGTGTTATAAGTTTCTTCCGAGTTGACCAATCCGTGTGTTTCTGGTCTCAAAAAGGTGGGCAAGACTCTTGTTCATAAAAATTGTCGGCTAGAATTTTGTGGTTTCGATCAGCACTAAGAATTGGCTCCTTAAAAGGAGGTAATTTTTACTTTTTATTCAGATAACATGCCTTTCATCAGGATCACCAGAAAATGCATTTCGCGCCGATATGCAACGCATAACAGAAAAGCGGTCGAGACAAAGAAAGAGGAGAATGATGATCCTGGCGACGAAGTGGTGAGCGATTTGAAACATTACTGTTAAAGAGAGGTTAGTGTCCAATTTTTGAGCGAAACCAGAGCTGAAACGAGTCGTTCGTTGGGTTACCAAGATGGCTTGTGAGTCGCGTGTTTTTAGTTATGTTATTTGTTTGCTTTTTAGCTACTTCGTTTAACAAGACCAACCGTGAACCACACAAGGAATGTGCCGTTTTACAAGAACAAGTCGAGCATATTCGACGAGAGTTGCCTTGAAAGGAATAACTATTTTGCGTTTCTCGCCGTTTTTGATTTCATTTAAGTTTACTTATCATTTTTCGCTTTTGAATCGATTGTTGCTCTTTACTTGTCTTTCTTTTACCTCACTTTGACTCGTATTTTTTGAGAATTTGCTGGTGTTTGTGGTGAATAAACTTTGCAAATTTCAAAGCAAAGGCAAAAACAAGTGCCAAGTCGCTAGCAAATAAATGAGAATTTTTCACGCAAAAAGCAAAAGGAAGTTGCACCAACCGGGAGTCGAACCCGGGTCGATACCTTGGGAGGGTACCATGATACCGCTACACTATTGGTGCACAACGGCCAGAGGGGAGAAAGGAATATGTATGAAAAGGGGAAAGGAAGAAGAGACGAAGAAGGGTCTGCCGTGGAGAATTGATCGGTCACTGGCTAGCATCCAGTAGAGTCAATGAGGAAAATGGAGTGTCCAAAGAGAGAAAGAAATACGACCCCTTGTGCGGTGATATTCACAATATTTTGTTCGTGTTTGTTGCTTATGGTAAGCAAAGTCCTTTTGATTAGAAACGACAAAAACTTTAGTAGACAACGGAGACTTCGAATTCCTATCCATCAGTAACATCCCTACTACGTCAACACACCTGATGTTCATAAACTTTTATTAACCGGCAACAAAGAATAATCAATTACAGAATCTAAATATTGAGATCAAAAAATACCCGAAATCATAAACAAAGCAAAAGCAGGAAAAACAAAAACAACAATTAATTACTTAACTATATTACATTATTTTATCTACTCGAACCTTCCGTTGCTTTGAAGGCCTTATTTTCATAAGTGGCCTCTTCCAATTCGTAATTATTATTTGCATTTCCTTTTGTTCCGACATCTTTTCCCGATGAAATTCCATCGTGAATACCTAAAGTGATTAACAAATAGCAGTAAAACGAAAAAATCATACCAATTTCAACACGGAATCTCGCTTGATCTCTTAACACTGTAATCGCAGCAATTATAAAGAACAATGCCTAAATTGAAACAGTTTTGATAGTCATTATCATAACAACTCACCGAAATTCCACAAAGTGCCGAAGGAATATAAAAAGCGTATAACAAAGCATCAAATAAATCTCCTGGAGAGTCGCTCAATCTTATTCGATCAGAAAGCTAAACAAACAAGAAATTTTAGCAGATAAAGTATGCATTACCAATCCAACGAGATATGGTCCAGATGCATCACCGAACAAATGTGAAATCAGGATTTGCCATGCATTTGCTGAATTACGTCTAAAGTATTGAGTGTAATCTAAAATTCATATGAACGAACCTCCATGGAACAATAATCGTCATTTGTAGATCGACATTGATGGCCCAATTGAAGCAGAGTCCGGTAATAGCAACGAACATGAAGACCTAAAGTAGAATAAAGAATTTTAATTTCAAAGAACTAAATCAAAGTGAAATGAGTATTTCGTTGATCGAATTATTAACTTATTAACGGAAAATAAACATACGTAGCTAGCTTCGACAGACACTTTGATGAGTTGTAATCCACCAAAAAGAAATGGAGTTGCGATCAGTGCTCCAAGGGCACAAATGATTGGATCGGATCGTTTCGTTTGACAGCATTTGAAGCACAACTTTCCACTACGCAGCAACTAGAAATTATTTGAGATATGAACATTAAAAGCAAGATGTCATACCGTTGACAAAGCTGAACCCATAATTACTCCAACGATTCCACCAGCAATTGTGACGATTCCAAAGTAGATAGCAATACTAAAGTTATTGATTATTTGATCGAAATTGTTGTATACTAACTTTGCTTTATCATTTTCATCCAGAAGACTTGTAGAATTGAGCTTCATTTCGTGAGCTTTGGCATGTTGAATTGCTGTAGGAACCCACCTGAAAATAAAAAGAAATACGGTTGAATCATTCAGAATCTTACCATGAAAGTGTGCCAGTCACAAAAACAATGCATGTGTAGGCAATTGTCGAGAAAATGTAGGTGTAACTAAAATTTACGACTTTCTTTTGACAAAGAGGTTTTCAATCTTACTTTTTCATGAGGGCCCATAGATCATATAAGTAGGTCTTGATTTTTACCTTCAAAGGTGCATTCTCCATATCTTCTTTGCGTGTAGAATTCTAAAATTAACAAGATCAATAGAAATATCTTTAATTTACCGATGATTCATTAAGTCCTCGTTCTGGTTCAAATACAAATAATACAATCAGGATAACAGAAGCCACGCCTAAAATTTAAAAATTAAATTGTACTGGAAGGATTAAACACACCAAATAATGGTGTTAATCTCATTCCCCATTGCCATCCTCCCAGTTGTCTTGCCAATTGTGATCCAACCATGTAACCAATTCCACTGAAGCGCACAATATTTTACTTGCTTTATTCAAATGCATCAAACCTTCCAAATGGGATCGCCATATAGAACAACATCAACATCCACGAACGAGCTTTTCCAACGTACATATCACCAATAATTGTAGGAGAAACGACCGCATACGAGGCTTCACCGATTCCGACAACACCTCGCAGAAGGAGAAACAGCCAAAAGTACTAAATAAACGTTTGCTACCTATTGCAAGTTAATTCAATTTACCTCTTTAGCCACAAATGTTGATGCGAACACCGCAAGAACCCATACTAATATTCCGACGACCATAATCCATTTACGTGTGTATCTAAAAGAAACTTTCAGCTGAAGAACTATCCATTTTATACTTACCTATCTCCTAAGTATCCAAATATTGGACTGAACAACATGAAAGAGACGATAAAAACCGTTTGAAGCAATCCTCCATCACCATTGTCGATTTTATAAAAGCGTTGAATGTCGGTGAGAACACCTGAAATTATACAAATTGTATTTTGTATTAGTCTAGAAAGAAATAGCTTTCATCCAAGTTGTACATTTTTATATTACATTTAGATCAAATTTTAATATAGAATCAAAAATGTTGAAGCTTTTTCATTGCATGTTTACGACTAAAAAAGCACCTGCAATTGTATATCGATCAGCATAGTTGAGTAGATTGATGAAGAAGAGAATCAACACAACAACCAGCTTCTGGCATTTCGAATGACGAGGTGGATCATCCATCGATCTGAAGAAATATGTAATGAAATTTAAGAATCGAATGGAATGAAGCGAATAGAAGAATGAATCGAAAATAGAGAAAGGATGTCAAATATGCGACCTTGAAACAGGTTTCTGACACAAAAGAGAACGAAAAAGGGAAAAGAGCGGGGGAGGGGGAGCGGGGCGATGAATTGTAGCTGTAACTTAAAAGAATTGGGAATTTGTGGGAAATTTTGATACTTGATTGAAAAATGCGTTAAGAATCTCTATTCTAAAATGAATAATGAAAAGCAAAGGGATAATGACAGAGTCTAAACAGTAAAATGCGCAATTTCTACGAGAAACTCAAGCAATACAGTGTTTGTAGTGAAATACAACAGTTAAGCAGATATCTCTCCCTATGTTTAGCACAAATCCTCTATCCGCGCGATCAAAAAGACTTGGAGGGATCGAGGGTAAACATTTCACTCACAAAAGGAGAGATCATTCCTTTCAAAGATTTGGGTGTTTCTGACTGAAACGAAAGTGCTGGGATAGGCACTCTAAATAATGATAGTCAATCCGAAAACTGAATATCTGTTTGCACTAAAATTCGCATTTTAGTTGAGGTCTCTAATTTTGATTTATTTTTCGACATAGCGCAAGATTGGAGTCAAAACTCACATTTTGTATTCTTAACACACTCTATTAGGCTATGGTTGCTTTTCTCTTTTTGTTACGCTTGCTGCCAATACTCGGAACGGTCATTGTCGATTTTCCCACCTCCACCATACTCATATGTAAGTTGTTTCTTTTTGTTACCGGATTTATCAACGTTAACTTTGAATATTTTAGTTTGCAAGAGAACTAACAAAACCTCTACAAAGCCGATTGGCGGACAATTCGTCTCACCATCGACCTCTGCGCACACAGAAGGAAAATTTATGTTATCTTACTGCTTAACTATTAGAACTTTAAGTTGTTTTAGGATACTTTAAAGTAATAACCCATCTCATGCGAAGCCATAAAAGTCGAATCGTGAAAATCAACGAACTCATCCATACCAAAATCGTACACAGCGTAAGACGCTTTCTTTTTTTCAATGTTATCAATGCTTACTTTAGAATGGAGTTTGACGCCGAAAAAGCTGAAAAGGATGTGAAAGATGTTAGTTTTTATTTCGATCTTCAAAATCTCGTTTTTCAGAAAACTGAACTTGATTTGATTGACGAGTTTGAATCCATTGTCCAAGCAAAATCCTTCAAGAATGTGAGGGAAATTTATGTTGATATTTCGCACTTTTTTATGTTTTAGGAAGAAAAGACATACTCTGTCTGCAAATAAGACAAAACAAAGCTTGCCAACCGAAGGAGGAGGTACATTTTACAAATTCTTCACCAGGATACCCTTAGCATCAAAAACGCCACCCCCGTTAACTGTAGAAGCGGTGACAGCAGATATTCAACCGATTAAACTCGATAAACAAACAGCTAGCAAAATGCCGTGAGTTTTTCGGGCAAATATCATATATGTCTATCTTTTTAGTGTTTCAAAAGGGCCTAAAGCGCATGTAAGCGCTAAGTAAGTTTGTTCAAACCAAGTTAGTTTATTTGTTTTGTTTAGGGGTGGCAAAACTCCCTCGCAGGCAGGAAAGAAATGAGATTACCTATAAAATCGTGATGTATTAATAAACTGTTTGGACTTTTAGAAACGTTTGGCTCCACTTGTAAAAAGAAAAACTGGGCAACTCGGTAAACATTTCACAAGTTTCATTATTTCGTATGTTAAGACTCCCAATTTCTCGTTGATCATAAAAATTTTAAGACACTTTTAAACAAATATATTGATTTTCTCCCAAAAAGCATAAATATTTATATTGTCACCTCAACAATGCGAGTTCACGTACGAGTAGGTATTTATTTAGTTTTTTTTTGCGTATCATTTCATCCATGCAGAGAACAGATGGAAAAGACAATCTTAGGCATATCTGTAAAAAGAAAGAATTCAATGGGAAACCCGTTTTATTTTTACCGTTTCTGTACAGCATAATCCAATTCTCGAGGATGATCAATGTCACGCGTTTCGGCCACAATTTTCACTCGCACAGTAAATACATCAGAACGACTCCAGGAACGTTCCTACATTCTACTACCTGAAGCTTCTACAAAAAAGTTTTACCAGAAAAATGTCCTTAATTGAAGCGCCATTCTCGGCAATGATATTCGTCAGTTCAGAGATCCCACCAGGACGATCTGATACATTCACCTAAAAATAAGAAATAAATGTAAAATAGCTATTTAAAAACCTTGAAGCGCACAAGACGATTATCCCAAGCCATTCCTTGAAAAGAAAATGGATTCAACAAAACAACAAACCAGAAAAAAAACCTCGTTCCATTACGCGCCCCAATTGGGTTGTATCGATATTGCCTCCACTAAGCACAGTCACCACCTTAATGACAGGTTTTGCAAACAAATACCCACAAATCAAACCTTTTTCCCTTTAAATTGATTGAGTTTCCCTAACAACAATGCTCCGACTCCACAAGCTCCAGCCCCTTCGATCACAATCTGTAAGCTTCATATTAAACATTTACTGAAGAAAACAAACCTTTTCCAATTCAACAAGGCGCAAGATGGCCAAACCGATCGCTTTTTCATCGACAACTATCGCATCATCAACTTTGTCTAAGAGTAGTATATAGGTATACAAACCGTTATAAAAGTCAAAACTAACCTTTAGCTGTAGCAAAAGCATTAACACCGATTACAGGTACAGCTAAGCCATCGGCGAGAGTCGGTAAAACGGAGGTTTCGATTGGATGACCAACTTGAAGAGCGTTCTAAATAACCCGTTATAAGTAAACATTTTAGGGTTCCTTGAACCTTGAATGATGGACAACGATCAGCTTCAACGGAGATAATTTTCACATCGGGACGTAATCCTTTGATAGCAGTAGCCACTCCTGCAACAAGTCCTCCACCACCTGCCGGCAAAACTACAGCATTAACGTCAGGAAACTAATCACAAAGTAATCTCAAATATCAAACGACTATTACCTGTTCAATTATTTCCAAGCCAACCGTTCCAGCGCCAGCAATAACATCCTTATGATCATAGCTAAACATTGCTGGCTTGTATACGAAATTAAAAACACTCACCCATTAATGTACTTTCCACCTTCATCTAAGCTTTTGCCCAATGCAATTAGCCGGCTTTCAGATAGGTTTTTCCCCTAAAACTCACGTGAAAAGATACAAAAAAAGCGCTTCTACCTGAACAATGACGTTTCCCCCAACTTCTTGCGTCTCTTCCTCCTCGAGAATTTGGGCGGCGTTTCCTGTAATTTGCTCGTACTCGTCCATGATGTATACGACGGGTTTGATCTAAATCAACAAATTGAGAAAAGACTATGCGACTTAACTAACCTAAGCAGATAAGAAAGCTCACTCCAGGTCCCATCATTTAAGCATCTTAGTGACGAACGAGGAAAAATTTATGAAATTTTACGACGTCAAACCTTTTCAACTCCGTTGTCTGCCTTTTGACCACACACTGTATGACGGGCTAAAAACAAAAATTTCTAAACGCAAAAAACAACAGTACTTGATGATTCATGATTTGCGCCGCTCGCTGGCTAGCCCTGAGGTAAGCATGCTTCAGTTGAGGGTTCCTCTGACTAAAGATACACAGATCAAAATGGTTAAAGGTGTTTAACAGAACACCATAATAACTTACTATTCCTTCTTAGAGATGTTGTGCCTTGCTTTGGTGTCATTTTCTCCAAAAGATCTTTTTGATTGCCGTTTTGATTCCGCGGTGTTTGGCTTAGGTGAGACAATCTTCGAAATAGGTTTCATTCATGCACTTCTCGGGACATTTTATGAAATGAATGACTTCGGACCGGCATATTCGCTGCGTTCCTAAACAAAAAGAATTGAGGGTTAAAGGGATGAACAAACTTAAATAAGGTCAAACAATAGAGTTTCACCTGTTTGCGGCTAGCCACCGAGTTCTTCTGACGTGGACCTGGGTCTGGTGAATCAGGTAACTAAAGAAATCAAATTTCAAGAAAATGCTTTGTGCTTAAATAAATACATGAAGCTTTCAACTTTAAAGGGAAAACAAAATAAAGTAAAGAAAATCATAAAAATCCAAACCTTTGGTGGCATTCAAAAAGTGGCGGTCGATAGATGAAGGAAGAAAAGTTGAGAATGAATTTTTAGCTGCTTCTTTTTTTGTTATGTATAACGTTTAAATGTTAACTTTGCCCAATAAATTAAAAATGTCGTGCAAAACAAAATGCGTCATTCAACTGAATACTGTAATGTTTTAGCATTATTTATAAAGCTTCATCTTTCGCTTTCTTCCCTTTCATCGTTTTGTCATATTCCTCCCCGAACACATCCCCGGCCATTTTGACTTGATTTTTGAGGCAGTTGTTATTTTATTTGAGTCGAACCAATTTTAAGCTTGAATTTTTCAGTGCATGCCTTCTGAACATTTAAAAAGTTCAATTTCGTTCATTAATGAAAATATTTTAGGGATGGGATCGATATCCGCGGATGAGTTAAGGACAATGTTTAGTCCTCTTCGAATTAACGGTGCGCCTTTTTTGTCTTGCACTTTTCATTTTAACATGGTTTTAGTAGACATTATAATTGGATATGGCGCTGCGAGTATTGTTTATTCGGGAGTTTCCACGCGAGATCAACGAAAGCTGGCAATCAAAGTTCCAAGTCGGGTGGAGCACGAACCTTATTTCATGAAGGAGATTGAAACATTGAAAGTGATTAAAAAAGCCGGCGGAAATACGGGGTTGGTTTGTTTAATTTCAATCAGTTCTAAATTACATTCTTAAAGTATCATGGCTTTAAAGTAAATTGAGTTAATGACTTCATAAACTAGCTACCTAATGAATTTAGAATGGAGTTAGAAAATCTACTTGGCTAACCAAGAAGTTAACATTTTTAGCATCACTGATCTGTTAATGTCGCGTCCAATCGAAGAAGGGATTCCATTTATGATCTTTCACCAATATGGTCCATCTCTTTTTGATGCGATGGTAATCTTTCTCAAAATATCAATTGCTAGAACTAGTTTTTAGAGAGAAACAAATCGGACGATTTCTCCAGATCACATTCTACAAATGACGCGCATGCTTTTGCAAGCAATCGATTTCATGCACTGTGAAGTGAAGTATTTGCATGGTGATATTAAACCGGAAAACATATTGCTCAAAGCAAGAATTATAAAAAATTTTGCTCTTTAAGCCTTGTTTTAGGATCAAAGATATTTGCAAAGTACCAATTTTTCTCCTGAAATCGTGGTAATCGACTTGGGAAGTGCTGTTTCACTTGATAATTATAAAGCTATGCAGAATGTGAACCAGGCCCTAATTGGTACCAAACCCTATCAAGCTCCAGAACAAACTATGAGTAAGTTATACGTTTTAAATTAATTACTAAACAATGTTTAGGACTTGCGTTAACGGAAAAAATTGATGTCTGGGCATTAGGATGCACAATATTTGAACTTTATCGAGGATGGCCGTTGTTTCAGGTATATTTGCGCTTAGACGTTACTATTGATCTTTAGCATAACGGTCTGGAAGAGCACCTTGTGATACTACAATGGTTGTTTCAACGCAGCATTCCATCTACAATGCTCTTCGAATATTATCGCCGAAATGTGAAACCAGTTGATTCGGATGAGTTAGACCCACCACCAGAGAAACGAGCAAAGACGGGTACGCCCGATTATGACGCAATCTACACGACCAATTGTGACCTACCAATTCCTCAACAAGCAATGATCGATGGCCTTAAAGCAATTCATTATGGACCGGAGATCGACCTCATTCGTTACTTGGGAATACCGCGATCAGATGAAGAAGAAATAGTACACAAGCTTATCATCGAAACACTCAAGGTTTGGCAAAAATTTTGTTAACTTTATAAAGTTGCTTTAGATTTTACCGGTATGTCGTCCATCACTACGAGAGCTTCTACGTGATTTTTTTAATTCCGTTTAAAGGTTAATTTTTATTGTCTTTAACGATTCTATATTTTGAGCGCTTTCCAATGGGAATAAAACTATGGTTGTTCTTGAATTTAGTTTTTGGTACCTTGTTTTTGTTTTTTTGCAGTAAAATAAAAACTCACGATATTCAAGAGCGTATCAAGCATTGCGCTAGTAAGGACAAATTGTGACAGACAGAAATAAGCAATAAACCAATTTTCATGAAAATGAGGCACATGTAATTTTCACAAATTTCACTCTGCATTTATTGATACTTTTGCTTGGTTGTGTCCGTTTCATCTTTTAAAATATTTATACGGCACAAGTATATGGGGCAACGAGAAGATGCCGTAGAATGAAGAAACGGGGAACGAAATAGAAAAACCCACAAGAAAAAGTGGGAAGAAATTTGAAAAGCGGAAGTATGTAGTACGATCAAGAAAAAAGGGAGAAATAGATTAAGGGTTTGGTGAAAGTTTGTAAATCTTTTTCATTTTGAGGAAAGCGTTTTGGATTGTGTATGGATGTGCCCCGAAATTCTCGCGACACAAACGAAAACACGAGGAACAGGCAAGGGAAACTGGTGGGGAAACTCATGGATAGACACATTTATTTTTCAAAATTTTCAAAAAAATCTACCATGAATTTGGAATCAACATGCTTTGTCATCGAAAATTCTTGGTCTTGTGCAACTGTATCAATTCATTTCTTTTCGAACAGCCCAAGGATTTTCCGATGGAATTGAAAATACTACGGCATAATTGAGTAGTCGTAAACAAAAATCATCCGTTTAAATTTTTTAGTCAAACTCAATGAAACAATATCGCTCTGCATGCATTTTTGTGGTAAAAACAATGCTTTGGAATTAATCGATGCTCACAAAAACAAATTATCTCTAGTCCAGCATTCCTTTCTGAATTGTTTACACGGCACACACCATTGCGCAATAATATTAATTTATACAATTCAAAAGACAAGAGGAGACAAATATCAACGGGATTTCCTTTTCTTAAGAATAGCGCAGAAAAACAATACACAAGAGAAAAACGGATAATTCTGAGACGACACAAAAAACAGTACACCGAACAAGGAATCAAATAAAACAGTTTGTGTGGAAGACAATTTTGAAGGATCAAGGCCGGGTGGCTTTGTCAAAGAAAAATTTTGGAAACAAGGTTTGTGCGGCTTGAGACCTGTGTCGGCAGGGAAGTGGAAGGTTAATGGCGATGGGAAGCAAATTACTTTGTTGTCATCATCGTCACGAACTCTAAAAGGGTTTCATTGAAACATAGGTGCATAAATAATATTATTTAAGTGATGCTATTCTTGTATACTATAAGCCTGAATAAGTAAAGCACTAGTCTCTACGGTTAATACTTATCATCCGGTATTAAACCATTAGATTTTATTCTAACTATGAGCAATAAACGGCACCTTCATAGTTGACTTGGCCATCTCCATCAATGTCAGCCTCACGAATCATCTCATCAACTTCCTCGTCGGTGAGTTTTTCACCAAGGTTGGTCATCACGTGGCGCAACTCGGCCGCTGAGATGAAACCGTTGCCGTCCTTGTCGAAAACCTAAATTAAACAAATAATTTCATCACAAAATCAATAAGAGATGATCGAGCTAGTCGATACCCTTCAGAGAAACATGTTATTCTAGATTCCCTTAAGCACAGTACACCATAAGAGAAAGCATAACTCATTGCCATTTTATGATACTGGTTGGTCTGGCGTAAGTTACTTACTCGTTAACTTAAAAACATATCATGCTACTAGGGGATTTGCTACTTTCTCTAGCTTTACAAAGTCAAAATTGTTTACCCTGAAGGCTTCGCGAATCTCTTCCTCCGAATCAGTATCCTTCATCTTACGAGCCATCATCGTGAGGAACTCGGGGAAATCGATTGTTCCGTTTCCGTCCGCGTCCACCTCATTAATCATGTCTTGCAACTCAGCTTCCGTAGGGTTTTGTCCTAGCGATCTCATGACGGTTCCCAATTCCTTCGTGGTGATCGTTCCATCACCGTCTTTGTCGAACAGCGAGAACGCCTCTTTGAATTCTAAAAAAGAATTGTTGAAATTCCATATCAACAGTGATTTTTCTATTGTTTCTTTTCACATTACAGATACGTGGAGCGCTTTTTACTTAAACTAGTCTCTAAACAGGTAAAATGGCTTGAAGGGGTGTGGGACAAATGCGACCTTTTTTTTCGCTGGAAAAGGCCGTAGAGCTTCAAAAATGTATTGTGTAAGGGAATCGTATGCGTAGATTCCGAATTTCGACAAATCAGACCTTGCTGGCACGTCAAATGTGGGCTAAAAGGCAAAAACTACGCAACTTAACGCTTTTCCGCAGCTTTTGCCTTTTAGCCCAAATTTGACGTGTCAGCGAGGTCTGATTTGTCGAAATTCGGCATCTACGCATACGATTCCCTTACACAAAAACATTTTTGAAACTCTACGGCCTTTTCCAGCAAAAAAAGGTGCGCAAATGTCCAGGTGCGCAGAATAACGTCGCATTTGTCCCACCCGGCTTGAAGTGTTAAAATGTTAACAATATCTACCCAAACAATCAAAAGGCACAAACCAGCAATTTGCTCCTCGGTGAGTTGATCTGCCATTACGACCGGTTATATGGAGGGAGATCACAACAATACCTGGAAATTTCAAAAATTAACAAGGGTCGTATAACGAACAGAAATGGAAAGAGGAGAACAAATAAAATTGAATGAAACTGAATTTGTTGCTAGAACTACAAAGTGTAATTGTTGCAATTCTCGAGGCAATAAGAAAAAATGTAAATCTAAATTTCCTGGGGACGTAAATATAGGTTAGGATCAACAGGCGAAACGTCAATAAAGTACGATCAACAGGCGAAATGATAAAGAAATGGTGATTGAAGTCATCCAAAGAGTCTATTAGAATAATTGGTTGGAAAGGCTAGAAAAAAGAATGAAAAATTGGGGGATGGTTACTTTGTGCAACTGGGTCATTTGCCCAACTCGCCTTAACCTTCTTCTAAGTGGGCCAATCTTTATGATTTTAGTGTCATTTTGTTGCACTTGTTGATATCTACAAAATGAAACCAAAATCATAAAGATTGGCCGACTTAGAAAAAAAGTTATGGCGAATTGCGCAAAAAATTTGGCACAAAATGGCGACCAATGTCACCTTACAGTAAGATTTTCAATTTTTGATTGAATAACTTAAAGTCGTAAATGTCATTACTAAAGCACACTTTAGCAAGTTGCCAATGAAAGCAAATCACATTAAAATCCATTTTTTAGTTTAAAACTAAAAAAAGTTGTTTATATGTCAAATGGCAAGACGAATGGCACCCATGTTTCAATTTCAGCGCAAAAATATGATGACGATAAGAGAGAATTTCCTTATGTCAACTGTCACACAAAAACCAATGTATAAGTGTGATTCACACACATAAATGTTGTGGCTGAGAAATGGGGGTAAAAGAAAAAAAGATTCGAGAAAACGGGGCGATCGCCGAAAAGAAATCGATCGATCAGCGGGGGGGGAGGAGAAGAAAAAGAAGGAAAAAGAAAGAAAAGAGGGGAGATACCGGGAAGTTTTAGTGTGGAAGGATGGGGGAAACAAAGAGAAGGGGATTGTCTTTCTACCCCAACACTACCCCCACCAAACACCGTTTTCACCTGAAATCACCCAAGAACCGGTCTTTTTCTCTTTCCGATCACCTTCTCTCCCAAATTGGGAACAGACGTTCACCCATCGACTCATCGTAATTGATGAATTGAAAGTGATGGGGCACAGATTGCAGATTGATCGTGAAGTGAAAATTAAATCAAACAGAATCAAACATCTTTGAATCAAACAGATCAAACAGTAACAGTCTACAATTTCACTTATCTAATATACAAAAAAATAAAACGCCCGTCTGTCTGTCTGTCCGTCACGCCTACGCGACAATACAAATTATGTTAACGTAAAATTACAACGAAGTAAACTAGAAAGCTGAAAATTTGTACTCACAGGTTTTCGGGGGTGAGGAATCCGAATATGAAATTAGATTTGTGCTAATTACCCTTGGTACCTCTAGGTAGAATATCTGTATGGCCGCGTAGCTGGTAAACTAATGCTTTGTGATAGCGTAAGCTCGTCACTTTCTCAAAGTTTACATCCATCCAAGTTCATCAAATAAAATCTTGTTTTAAAACCTTAAAAAAAAACATTTTTTGAGTAAACTAAATCAAGAGCCAAGGCAAGGCAATCAATTTTTCTCATACTTGTTTTCAAAAACTCAAAAAATGTCAGCTGATGGAAACTCAAAGGCCACCGAGTCCCCCATTGCTTCTTTCCCTTTACCCTTCTCCTTCACCCTGCGCGGGTCTCTTCAAAAAAGGGTCCTCCAAATTCTCATCTCTCTTTTTGTTTTCCCAATCTCCCTTTGCCATCTCTTTTCTCGAAAAAAGTGTTTACTAGTATATTTTTGAAAGAATTCGTGTAGACTCCCCCAAAACCACAAATAAATCTCCGTAAATTTTGACACCCACAAACTTGTCACATTCCTCAGAAAAAATAACCCAAATTCTCTTTGAAACTTTCAGAGCGATGGCATTTGACGAAAATCTCCGAAAATACAGTTCTAAATAGAGCGATTCAGTGAAAAGTGAATTGAATTCCGTTTTGGGATTTCTGGAGTTGGTGAGGAATTCCGTGCAATGGTCAATTCATTTTTTTGTTTGTTTGTTTGTTAAACACATCGGTAAATATTGGAAAGGGCCTTTTTCAGCAAAGAAAAGTGACGCGTGGTGATTGGGGTAAAGAAAAGAAGTGACTGTGAAGAGAGATTGCTAAAATTGTCTTGTGGTACACGTAACTTGCTTAGAAAAATAAGATACTAATCTATTACTATAAAGCTTTGTTAACTAATGAAAATCAAGTGGATTTGCTTTTGCTCAAGGAATTCTAAAACCCGTTCATCAATGCGATTTCACTTTATTTATTTATCTAGGTAGTAGTCATACGTAATCATAAGTATTTTATAATGAAGCTTGACTGAAAGAAAAGACAGAAAGATGGTCTTACCCATATTCTCAATCAATCTAAAAGTTTATTTATATCATAATTTAGGGTATAATAGGAATATATTCCGTATCTAATAAACTGGTCAGAAAGCTTGTAAGCTCTCAAAGCTGGTCAGAAAGCTACCCAAGACTTCCAAAGTATTTTATAATGAAGCTTGACTGAAAGAAAAGACAGATCTATCCGAAGACAAAGATCACTGAGTGCCAACTTTCCTTTTTTACAATATTCAAACGCTAGATCAAAACCCTTTTCACAAGGATGAAGAGAAAAACTTTTTCAAAAGCGCAAGAAAAATTCAATAAATTGTATCGTTCAAAGGAAATGAAAAGAGAGAGAAGCGGACGAGGTGAAGGGTTTTGAAGGAAAAGGAAAAGAAAAGAGAAAAAAGAATGGGAAAGGGGAAGTATTGATGGGTGAAGAGAGGCTGAAGAGAGAGCTCAACCCCTCGGGGGAAAAGGGTCCATGGGGAAGGGGAAGTTGAAGGATGGGCATTGAACATGGAACTCCTCTTTTCCCCACCAGAGAAAATCCTCGTTTGAAAAAAGAGTAGCAGTGGAATCGACAAAGAAATCATTCACAAGCGAACAATCCGATCTCTCTCTTTTGATTACTTTCCTCTTGACTACAATTGTTTCGAAATTAGTGATGAGGAATCATTGGATAGTTGGTTTTCATGTCTGATGGAGAATGAGAAGACTACAAATATGGGCTTGTAAGAGTGCTTCAATTGTTAGCCTAAAGGTTGGATTGTAATTGATGTCTAATAATTGATGTCTAATAGTTGATGCCTAATAATTGATGTCTAATAGTTGATGCCTAATAATTGTAGATATTTCTTTAGATAGCAGTTTTTTCTTGTCTAATTTCAGATATAATAAATATCATGTAAAGTAGCTGAGTCTTTGTCTAATTGATTTAGATTTGTCTAACTTATTATCAGAACTTATTGTTAACCATAGACTCGTTGACCCATCACCAAGTCATAATCGCCTTTAACCATTATTTTAAAACTCAAAAATAGCTAAAAATAGTCCATCTCACTACCCGAAACTCATTTTAACCAAAAGAAATTCGTCAAACGTGAAAACTGGAATTTTTTTTTGAAAATTTTGGATGAAATTGGATAAATCAACAAATGGACCGAAGGAAATGAGGTGCTGAAATGAAAAAAGGGAGAAGAATGGAAGCAAGAACCTTACAAGGGGAAATAAGAGAAACTGAATAGGCAGAAGGCCAAGAAGACAAGGAGAAGAAGGACAAGACAGAAGATGAGATGGAGTAGAGTGGAGAAGGCTGATGGGAAGACAGCGGAGGGGTCCCCCGTATAGACCCTTTCCCCCCTCTTCGACCCGATTAATCGCTGGATGCGCATTGCGCAGCGCAACCATTCCTCCCCTCAGATAACCCTTTCGCTTTTGCTGAACTCTAAAACTCCAATTTTCGGATTCTCTCTCGTCAGCTTTCCCCCTCTAAGCCCTCCACCCGTTTCCAGAATCTTTTTACCCCTTTTCCCTATCTTTTCTCCTATCTTCCCTCCCATATTTCTCTCGATTTCACTAAAAGAGAGATCGCATTAACTCTTGACTCTTTCTCCCCAGGGGACCTCCTTGAAGAGTCCCCTTCTTTTTCCACAATCTTCCTCATGAAAGTCTCTTTTCTTTTCTTTCGGCAGAAGGAGATCTTTTCCTCCTCCAGGTCCAGAGAAATTGGCTTCTTTTCGAAAACGAAAAGCATATGATCAATGTCTTTGACTTTTGAGAAAGAGGGAAAACGGCAAAATGGCAAAAAGAAGGCAAAGGTAAACCGGAAGTGAAACAAGGATTGGGAAAATTCTGAATTTGTGATGTAAAAGGAGTGGTAGTAGAAAGATTTGGTGAGGAGATTTGAGGAGAAAAATGAGTGGAAGTGGCTGAAATGGGTAGGATTTCAGAATCATTTGCCTAAAAAAAGGTACTTTTTCAAGTTTGTCAGCCAGTTAGGGCTACCTGCTTGATTAGTTCTGAACTATTGGTATCTCGAGACTAAAGTTTTTGGGTTATTGAATTGATTACTGTAAAGAGGCTAAGGGATTACTGTAAAGAGGCTTAGGGATTATTGTAAAACCCTCAGTCTCATCTCACTACAGTATGCTGAAACAAAAAAAATATCCAAAAAAAGTCTGAATCTCTTTGCAATTTGAATTTGAAAAGTATTCAGTCTTGCCTTTTATTTTACTATAGTAAAATAGGGTTTTACTGGGACAACAAACGAGCTCTATAAGGTTAGATTTCAAGACTCGACTCTAGTTGAATCAACTCAATTTACGAAGTATTAAAAAAGTAAATGTCTCATCGGTGAAATAAATATTTTCAAAGTTTGGCGAGTGAAAGGGGTGGAAAATAGTGGGTGAGGGAAATCTAAAAGTCAAACACGACTCACCGCCGGCTTTCCCCAGTCAGTCCCAGTCCTTTCCCCCGATTCTCCCCCTCCCTCCTTTGCTCATGTTTACCCCAACAATTCCCTTTAACACATAAAAAGTGTTTCTCTTTCTTCATCTACCTATTTAGAAGAGAATTCGATC